ATATATTATACACAGGTACTCTTTTTTTTATTTAATTTATTTCCCGTCATACTGCAGCAAAAACAGCTGTTTTTTTGTGACGTCTTTTGCATTTAGGGAGTAAAAAGCATTTTATTCCCTAGGGAATAAAAATCATCCGTTGTAAACAGTTACAAATTTAGATTGTAGCAATCGCATTGATCGAAATCATGTAGGTAAGGCCTATGTCAAGTTTCAGTATGGTTTTAGCTTATTGTTGCATTCTTATCAATAGTTCTACATATCGATGGTGTAACGAACAGTAAACAATCGTACTAGACGAAATGATTGAATCACTTACTAAACAGCTGCTTATTTATATTAACAGAATTTAAAACAAGCTGGAAGTCGTTTTGAGAGGTTATCTTTACATGAAAATTAATTTGGTAATTAATAACTTAGTTTTTAAATAATGATGCAATATATTTTGCCTACAGTTACCTAACAATGTACATGTTCTCTCACTGATTTGAGAAAGCAAAGTGGCCAATTCGCTCATCAGTGAGACAATGTTAACATTGTTTCACTCTAATTACTTTGTCTCACTCCAGATTTGCAACGCGAAGGCACGAAATAGTGAGCGCGTAACATGCAGGCAACGTCGTATGCGCGCGAAATACGTTGGCAGCACTGGCTGTAAATCAGCTGGTCAGCTGTTGTACTGTTGTATTTGTCACTTCACATTAAATGTTATATTAAAAGTTCACTTCTGTGTAAAAATAGGTTATGTTTCTTCACAAATTTATTTGTTATATGGTAACTTTAACTGTAGGAAAAGTATAATGTGCAACTCGAGTTCAAAGTACAATTGCCTCACTCGAAAAATTTCTCACTAGTTGCACAAATATAGAACTTAGTTATAATTTTCGATTGTAAACAATTGCATGTATTGAAAGTATGTTTCGGTTTTCTACTCGATTGTAGCTTATTGTTGCCTTATTGTAGTTCGACATATCGATAGTATAATGTACACTAATACAATCGTAATCGATGAAACAATTATTGCATTTCTTACTAAAAAAGCTGGTCTCAATTATCAAATTAAATTGAAAACAAGCTAGAAGTAGTTTTTAGAGGTTAAATGACAAATATTTTAGTTTTGTAACATAGTTTATTTAAATAATGGTGAAATATTACGAAAAATATAGTTCACAAGGCAAGTCACTTTACGACCTAGTGATGAAATATACTATTATGGTTTTGTAATACTTTCAAAGTAAAAATATGAATTGACAATTTGTTTACCGTACTATAACAGTAGCAAGAAGAATATATACTTTTCCCTGTCTTGGCAATGTAAAAAAAAAGAATTTTAATGGAATATGTTTATCTTTGGGACGTTTGGTGAGTATTATTTATTAGTTACTTTTCCTTCAGTTTTAGTCAAGCGGATGTAAATTGTAATGATTCAGACAACACTATCAATACATGACAAGTTTGTCGTATAGCAAATAAAACAATGTGGGCTATTTCGTCTTCAACAGACTCCATATTGTTTAAAATTTATTATGAACTATAAAGGGTATGAGGTACTGAACAAGTAAACAATCAATCGGCTATGTATTGAGAGATATTAAATAAGCAATTTTGTGATAAAATGTCAAACATTTGTTTATTCTATGTAGATAATAGATTTACGAAAATAGTGTAGGTTAGTCAAATTTTGCTTTTTTCTACAGTAACACCAATTAAATGACTTCAAAATGATGACTAAGCAACAAAGTAAAATAAAACATATTTTAGATCAGCTAGTTGTTATATATTTTTTTGTTTAAATAGTAAGTTGATTATTATCTATACAAATAAAATTAGAGTTTTGTCTGTACATTTCTCAGAATTATATAATTTTGGTTATTTTTACGTTTCATACATTAAAGAAGCCGAAACAAGTATCATCTCAATTTCTGTCTGTCTGTCAGGGCCCAGTGAAGACATTTTTCGCGGCCTGCTCCTGAAAAACGAGAGCAATCGATCGGGATTCAAAAAGTCTTTTTGTATTCACTGGATTGGCGAGAATGTCTTTAGCCATTTAAATATGACCTCACTGCTTTTGAAACATAATAACGGACGTTCAAAACCCCAACTTTGTGCGATTTTTGTCAAGTTTTCTTTTAATTTTTACCATACGTCATTAATGAAGCACTCATCTGTTTGGAGAAACGACATCTATGAAACAGCTGTTTGGATAAAGATTACTTTTTTCTAGCTGTCACTCGATATGTTTACATTAAATGTTGTTTACAAATACTGCAACCATTTCCAATCACGTTTTGTAAGAAAATCCAAAACCAAGTTAAATTTAAAAAGTTGTACCTTACATAACGGGTTTTATTAATCACCAGTTCAATAATGTGAAACTCTAAATGAAAATTTCTAGGCATCATTCAGGTCGCTAACTGGAGATTCTGTATGTGTGTGTCAATTTGTACTTGAGTTTTAATAGCCGGGTTTATATCGTTGAGCAGACCCTGAAACAGTGCTGTATACGGAGTTTTGCCTGCATATCTGGAAAAATACACACTATAAATATACAAACAAACTGCTGTTCTGATTATAAGAAGGTTTCAGCTACATGATCCCGTTTGTAGAACGGGTAGGCCTTACAGCTCGTAACCTCTATAAATGTAATTAAAATCTAAAACTTTAGATTTTATGTTTATCTATTGCAAATTTTGCATAGCGAATGAGTATAAAGTATACAGTAGATAGATACAGTAGTATGCAGTAGTATACACTACAGTACAGAGTATACAGTAGTTCTGCTATTTTTTTTACCAACAAAGCTAAAAATTAGGGTACACTTCCATATCTGTTGGCACAAACAACCGAATGAAAATATCGATCCATATATCGATTGTTCGATATATCGTTTGGTTAGTTAGGTAAGGTTAACCTAGCCTAACTAACCAAACGATATATCGAACTAAACAATCGAATAATCAATATTACTCATTCAGTTGTTTGTGCCAACAGATATGGAAGTGTACCCAAAAATTAACAGATAGTCTAATATAAAAACAGCCTTATGTAATTTCAAGAAGTCATCTTCAGGAGACAAAGAATGTCTTGATCATTTTATCAGAAAGTCGCCGATTCACTTATAGTACTTAGACACACGGACACGAGCATTACCGGTAATTGAAATAAAAATCGTCACAACTAGTAAAAACGAATAAAAATGGTAAAACACCAAAAAGGTATACACAAATTCATACTCACCTTAATACATAGGCTAACATTAAAAACTTTATATCAGCCCTATTTCTGCAATATTCAGTAACATTTGTTTAAGCTTTCATTCACATGATTTACCATCAAACAAAGACACAAATATTATATTCATACTTTCATATTTTCGATGGCTTTACCTGTGTTTCGTTATAAATATTTGAATCTAGATTTTCATGCCCTGAAACCATAGACAAAAAGAATTAAATATAGACTGTCAGCTGTGCTGCGGTTACCAAAGGTTCTGGCGCACACCGCTGGGAGCGCCATGTAGTTACGCTGTGCAGAACCTATGGTAACCATGGTAATCGCAGCACGGCTGAAGGTCTAGATTTAATTCTTTTTGTCTATGCTTGAAACTAACAGTCAAGAAGACGAGCCAAAGGTGCTTCACACTTTCTTAAGAGTTTCCCAATCATAATTCAAAGGCAGACACCTTCCCTGACCTTGGCCCTCATTCTCATTGTGGTGACTGGATTCAAGTACTATTGTTTGCTTACATCATCTGCTGGGTGCAACACTTACTTGTGTCATCATTGTTAACTTTGATGACCTGCTTGTATGAACCCTCTCATGCAGCGTTGCAAGAAATAATAAAGGAAATTATAGCATTTTCCATTCATTCTCGTGTTGCGTACATTGTAGGTGATATGAAAAAATTCTGCTAAAAAACGTTTTAAATTAAAATATTCCAGACCAATAATAAAAAAAAACTAGGTATCTTAAAAAAGGGTGGATAAAACCATTATAGTAAATTTTATGACCACGTAAATTAAATATGAGGTTGGCAATTTGCAAAAAAAAAAAAACTCTTTAGCAAGTCCAACTAATTTAGTAAACAGGTATGTCCAAAAATAAAACACATTGCTCCAGACACAAATATTTAATTGAAAAGCAGTGATAGTTTAAGTTAAAAAGTACAATGATTTGAGTTTATGTATAACATTATTTAATGTTATGTGAACATTAGAAATATTTTATATTAAAAATTCTAACCATAATATGCGTAAACTCACTTGAACTTTTTTCTCAAATACAGTGATTACAAATACTTTTGGTGATGCTATTTTAGGATATATTGTTATTATTTTATATTATATACTTATAACAAAAGTTATATTATTATTATTTTTATAAGTAAAAAATAAGATACCACAACATTTTGGTACATCTGTGGTTTTCTTTAGTGATTACCCAGCTTTGTCGGGGATTTTTTTGTCCTAGGACACTAGGCACGAGCCTGGGATTGTTTTTCACATTACTGTAGGCTAGACCTAGGGGTTGCGGCATTATCACTTAGATAAAATCCATTGGTGACTTGGCGGGGATCGAACCCGGTACCTCAGGGACTGAAGTCCCGCGCTCTAACCACTACGCCAGCTCGCTCGCTTTGTCGGGGATTGCATACTAATACTACTAATCTTGTAATATTTCCAGTATTTCCTTACCTGAGGAAGGAATCAGAATCCAGATCCCGAACTGTCAAAAAATTTGTTTTAGGCTAATCAAAGGTGGGAAATGTCTGCGATAATTTATTTGGAAATATATACTTTCAAACGACTTAACAGATAGCCAGATAGATTTTGCCATTAAATTCTGTTACAAAACAGTGTTTTCTACTAAAAAATATGCCAATGCTGATAATTTTCTGTAAATATTCACAAACCAGCTGATCACTTTATCTCTATTTTACGCTTATCGTTGCGTATACAATAGTGTTATCTGTTAATGCTTACAGCTATTTATTCCGACAGGCCACAGTGATCCAGATGAATGGGAAGACGCAAGTTGCTGAGAGTGAAGCGGCCATCAAGTTCGGATGGATCAAAGGAGTCCTGGTGAGGAACCTCCTCAACATCTGGGGTGTGATGCTGTTCCTCCGTCTCTCCTGGGTAGTTGGTCAGGCCGGCATACGTGAGTACCTCGAGAACAGTTTATAGAGTAGGACCTTGATAACAAGACTGTCATGGGATTATTAAATGAGTCTTGTTATCAAGGTTGAGTTCTTACAGAGGTTTGAAATAACGATTAAGGGTAAAATAAATTCTTGGTGATTTGAAAATGACACTTGTTATCAAGTGTCTTGTTATTGAGGTTCCAGTGTATTTACTTTCTAAATTGCAAATGAAAACATCTAAAGTGATAACTTGGATCCCAACTAGAAATTTGAGGAGATCTGTTTGGATTTCAAGGAAATTATATTTTATTATATGTTGGTTTAGATAATTGAATTTTGGATACTGAAGAAGACTATATCAGCTGTTGCCAAATTAGAGCTACTCAGCTACTAACTGTTCAACTTTTTTTATACTTCGATTGTTGGATGTGACATAGAATATGTAGTTTACAACAAGTTGTAATAATTTCAGTTTGGTTTGGTTTTATTAAAATGTTATCACACTCTACAGAAATTGGTAATCGCCATCAGTGCAGTCTGTCTGTAAATCCTACGTTCACATTATTCTAAAACTCGCTACCAATATAACATGGGAAAGGAATGCCTACTTCTCTCAATATAGTAAAAACTTAGTACCTTCCTACTACTATAGAAAATAAGAGAGATTCAAATGACAAAAGTTTTGTCTAACAATATTTATTCGCTCTCACATTAGAAATAAAATAATGTCACTCTCAGTTTGGATATTAATTGTTCAACAGTACCATTAGGTCATTGGCTTCTGTCTGGAGTACTGTCATTCAGTGAAGGAGAGTTGGAAGAGAGATATGTAATTAGGGTTTAATTATTGCTACCCACACCTCTCATTTTCAGAATGAGAAAGACAGATAATGGTGGGAAAGAGATGGATAACCACTGATCAGTGGAAGATAGCTTCAATGCTAATGTGGTACAAGTGTTTTGCAGCTGTGAGGAGGAATTTCATTGTGATTAAAGTGTTTTTCATGAAAAACATTAGTACTATTTACTTTGGATACAAGACTAACGTGTAACGATGGTCAGCAGTACTAAAACACTTTCTAATAGTTCAAATGGCAAAAATATTTTAATAATATTGTAAGCACACACATTTACATCCTAACATTAAAACATAATATTAAGTGATTAAATTGGATTTAATCAAATTGTTTCTTTTTTTGTTTGTGTCAATGCCAGTGAAATTTTTAATTAAGTAAATTCAAACACTTTTAAGTAAAAGCGGTACAAATCCATTGAAATTTTGAATGTGCCGAGATGGAAAACCTGTCCATCTTGCACTTTACTGTACTTACATGTACGGATTGATCATGCATGATTGTGCGTCTTAAGGCAACAATTACTGAATTATGGGTGTTGAATGATAGCATTGTTGCTGGATTATGATCAGTTCTATCAGAATCATTCAGAGAGTCTTAGAATGACGTAAGAGATATCATAATCACCTATTTGAAACTTTACAATAATTGTTAAAGCACCTACTGCAGAAGAAAGTTCTATGGTCATTGAAAAGGCTAGATAGAATTTGTGATTTAAAGAACACATCTACATATTATATTAAAAATTATTGGGCTTTCTTTTCCGAGTCGGTTCTGCTCTTCTACCTGACCAACTTTCATAATTTTGGTCTTAAATTAAAGGTATGCACGCACAGATTTGCCATTAAGCATCGGCATTAATTTATCTAACGTATATTTTGAGCTATGCACGAAAGCAACTTCCTCCCTGTCCATTTCTTATGGGAGTTAAATTTGGCTTTTCTTTTCCAAATTCGTTTGACTCTTCTACCCAACCGGGTTTCATAATTTTGGTCTTAAATTAAAGGTATACATGCACAGATTCACCATCAAGTATCACCATTCATTTATCTACTGTATTACTCGACATAAAAACATAAATTATTTTTTTTATTTTTACCTAAATTAAAGATGTATTTCACCAGTTCTAATTACATTATCTTATATTTTTTTGTCTTAGAAACTTCAGTGAAATACCAGCTTTCATTTTTGAGCTATTGATTACTAAGATCGGACGTACCTGAAGCACGTTGCTGAATCACAAATCAAAAATGATTACAATTGTGTTAGGACTTCAGCAAAAATGATGTTACATAACTCCATTTTTATTTTAGTTATTTTATATGTCTTGTTCTTAAAATACTCCTAGAAATAAATGCTTCGGGTTTTGCTGCTAGTCATAACTAAATGAGCATTACTTCTCAATCATTATGGTTATGGAATTTTTTACCTTCATAACCTTTGATCACTGAATTAGCAGATCTAGTGAAATCGTCAGATATTTCCTTTGATCCCTAGTGAAAAAAATCCAGTTACTGGCCAGGTTCTGGCCCAGGTTCCAGAATTGGCAGGAACCTGGGCCAGAACCAGAACCTGGCCAGTACTGTTCCAGAACCTGGCCAGTACTGTTCCAGAACCTGGCCAGTACTGTTCCAGAACCTGGCCAGTACTGTTCCAGAACCTGGCCAGTACTGTTCCAGAACCTGGCCAGTACTGTTCCAGAACCTGGCCAGTACTGTTCCAGAACCTGGTCAGTACTGTTCCAGAACCTGGCCAGTACTGGTTCAGAACCTGGTCAGTACTGTTCCAGAACCTGGCCAGTACTGTTCCAGAACCTGGCCAGTACTGTTCCAGAACCTGGTCAGTACTGCTCCAGAACCTGGCCAGTAACTGTTCCAGAACCTGGCCAGTACTGGTCCAGAACCTGGCCAGTACTGTTCCAGAACCTGGCCAGTACTGTTCCAGAACCTGGCCAGTACTGTTCCAGAACCTGGCCAGTACTGGTCCAGAACCTGGCCAGTAACTGTTCCAGAACCTGGCCAGTACTGGTTCAGAACCTGGCCAGTAGGTTTACTGTTCCAGAATGTATTGGTTGTTTGAGCTTGCGAAGACGACCCACTTTTACATGAGAATGATGTCAAAAAACATAATTGTGTTAGTATTTGATCACGTCTTTCACATTTTCTCAAATTAAAATACAGTAACGTTTTTGTATCCATAGTTTTTTGTATTTTACGTGAATAACTCGTTAAAAATATTTACCTTTTTACATGAGGGAAAGGAATTTATCGACGGGTTTTCCAAAAAATTAAATTTGTATGCTGATATTTTTACATTATTGGTACATGACGATTGTTTGTTATTTCCATTTATATAACTCTTTTGTAGAAAATGATTGTAAAGGGTCACACTCTTGACTTACACTTTCCAATCAGACAAATACTGCCATTATCTTATCACAATTTCCACTCTTTTCTACTTACTGAAATCAATGGAAGACTCATTAATTTTATATACAGTAGGCCTAAACCATGGTTATTGATGAGCATGATTACTTCTTACTGAAATGGTTGAGGACCCCTGCAGTTTATGTAAGATAAGGTACTCAATTACAATAGACACTGTTATACCTAACAAAAAAAAAACTTTTTTGTTATTTCCGTGCTATTCAAACCGTCAAACAAAATGAAAATAACCAAATACATATCTAATATTACCATGAATGTATCTAATATTACATGTCTAATATTAACATGAATCTCAATCATACCTAATATCAGACAACTTTACGGATTGATAGGTACACAATTTTTAATTGAGGTTAATTAACTTTTTAAAATATAACAATATTGATTGTTAAATTAACTAATTTCTATTGAAACTGTTTGTAAAGATGGCTTTAGGCCAGCATTTTATCGATTTTTTATGTAGGCCTATCAATCTTAAGCCTACCTTAGTGACAAAATCAAAAGACAATGCACAATTTAACACAGGATTATTAGGTCTACTAGCTCCTTTGTTGGTAAAAGAATTATTATTTGTGAATTTTCTTCTATTTTAGTCAGCAAGGTAATACTGCTGTTAAATTGATCATCCATTACAAAATATTTAATTTTGTTAATGTTTATCCATAGGTATTTGAAAAATTACCTCATTAGCAAATGTGTAGGCCTTAATCAATATTCAGCATTATACTCCAACATGTATGTATTTAAAAATATTACATTAGATCTTTGCACTTATAAATAATAATGAATTTTAAAGACATAAAGATTATCTAAAGATTGAGTCCATGAGCCATTTATGGGATGCAGTCTTCGTCCTCCTCAGTCGTTTCTCTCCTGAAAAAAAGTAACATTATATTATTAACATTGAATATATTCAACTGGTGTTGGATGTAAATTTTTAAGAGATGACTCATGAACAGATTTCTTATTCTAAAGCAGAATCAGAACACCTGGCTTCTTTCAATTTACTGAGCCCTTTTTTGCCATTAACTCCTTAAACATATCATTTTGCTTTGGTTGAGAAAATGTTGCAGTTTCCAATAAAAAAAGTGTTGGTTTTAATTTGTTTGTCTATAGGCCTACCTATTAGTTTTGATATCTTAGAGAGATAGGCTATGTGCAAATAAATCAAGCATCAACTCTGTAAGGCAAATGAAACATTAGGCTAAGTTTTTACATTTTGCTTTGATGGTGACTGACATCATCTATTAATCAATCATTAGGTATCAAATTACCTTCCTTCCTACTTGCTAACAATTCAATTTCATGACGGTCTTAGCCAATCTTTTATCACCGTCTCGATGTTTCTTTTTCTTTGGCCTCTGGAAACTGGTTGAAAAACAGCTTCTGTAAGAAATAACAAGAAGTTTGCTATTATTAATAGTAAAGTAGGCTATGTAGCACTAGTAACGTGTCAAAATCTAATCTCAAAACCACCAAAACTTTGAAAAAGGTTTCAGCTTGAAAAGGTTCCATCAGCGAGTTTCTAGATTCAAAACTTTAAATGGGGAAGACAGACAAAAAGAAATTAAACCTTTGACAAGAACTTCATGCACACTTTTTTAACTTTATTCTTTTGCAATCTCATGTAACGGTGATTTGCCGTTGGGAATAAATAAATTTGATTGAATCAAAATCAGCTTAATATATTTCTCAATGCTGTAAAAGGGCCTAAAAATCAACCATAATAAAGTTTTCCCAGATCTACTCATGCTTAAATAGGGTACAGTTCACAAAACTTGGCATGGTGCAATAAGGTGCTTCGACAAGCATAACCCACGCACATAAAATGTGCCGCAGCCGATTCCCATTCAATTATCACAAATTTCAAAAGTATGGATACAATAACCAAGCTATGTAGGCTACATACATTTATTAACAACATAAAATTTGTTCTAGCCTAACTTACTTTCAGTTAAGAAGTAAACAGGCCTAGAAAAATCCATACCACTGAAGAAACGTAACAGATTTTGACGCAAATTGGTTAGCTAGAACTTAACTTATATTTACTTATACTTAACTTAACCTAGGATATGTGAAATGTCGCAAAGTTAAGGTAAATTAGAACAAACTGGCTGTCACTGTCAATACCGTATGAATAAATTATTGGTAAGTTATCAGTCGAGAAATGTTACCAATAACTTAATTATAACATAAAATAGGCCTCATCCATAGTGTGACAGTAAATAACAAATTAAGTTATTCTAGGAATTGGTCGAATACGTTAGATAGGAGTACATTTTCGGTTTGTTGGAAGTTATTTTTGGTTAGCTAATGCTCCCTAGCCTAAGTTTAATTTACTGCGCTTGGCTCGATTTTATTTTCATCCTACCCTACCTAGCAGTACCGGTAGCCTATTTTTAACTTATGCCTAAGGAATTTATTTTATGAAATCAACTATCCTTTAAGGGTGTAAGAATTATTTAGGTGTAGGGCCTAACAATTGAGTTACGGTAGACTAATTTAAGATATTTAACTTGTAACCTAACTTTTAATCTAGGCTTTGACTAAGGCTGACTGCATAGGTTTAAGAAAATGATTGTAGTAGGCTAAGTTAGGTATATTCCTATATAGGTTATTAAAAGTTGCAGATTTGAAACTGTGGCCAATGATTCACCTAAGTAAGGTTAAAAAGTGATATCGCATTAGGACATGCAGTAAAACATTAGGACTCCGTTCAAGTAAAAACCAAACTTTCAAAGAAAGCCCCATCAAGGCTATAGGCCTACTAACAAATGTACTAAGATTAAATCCAATGCAAATTTGTTAGGTAGGCCTAGTCTAAAAACTTATAACCGTAAGCCAAAGCCTGGCTAACTCATTTAGGTTAGTTTTCTAACTTAACTACCGGTTTATATCTTAACCTAACTATAATCAGTTTAAAGAAAGACTAGATGTTGCAGAATTTTTATCGAACCTAATTTTTGATGTGTAACTCACATTGAAACTTAATAACTAAAGTAGGCCTAATGTTATTTTGAATTCCTTACCTTGGTTTGGGAGACAGCCTCTTCAATAACGATATTCTTTGGTGAAAGAAAACAAAAAAACTGAAGGTAAACTACCTAACAACAAAAATCTTAGGCTACTAATATAATATGGATACGATTATACACTATTACATTTTAATTTTAAATTGAAAGGACTAAGTTATACTTTTGCAAAGTCAAGAGGTTAGGCACAACAGCCAAGCAAAGATGGCGACGCCGATCTTTTGACAGTTGGAGTTGGAACAGAAAAATCAGTCCCCTCCCCTCCTCTGCCACGGACTGCACTGGACCCTGTCATTAGCTCTCAGCTCTCAGTCTGGCGCGAAAATTCTTTTAAATTTTAATCTTGCTCAATTTTTCAAAACAATAAGTTTTGGTTGTAGAGATAATTATTCTAGGACACATACTTGTCCTATGTATGGGTATGTGGTAGTACTGTAGTAACTTTAATATTTTACAGGAAAAAATCACAAAAGTTGCAAAAAATATAAACCCTAATTTTCACAACACTGAGAGGTTGCACCATTTAAATTTAAATTATAAGGACCAAAATATACTAATTTTGATTAATATAGGTTAAAAAACACAGTTTTCCTCTATTATATATAAAATAACATATCAGTTACAGTAGCTTTTAAACCACAATTTTACAGTAATAGGCGTTGTAAAATTTTTTTCAGAATTTAAAGGGCTCTAACATACTTATTATTTATTAAAAATTTTTGGCCAATTTTTTTAAATAAGATTTTGCTATTATTTCATGGGGTTTTATGGAAAAATCACCATTAAAAAACAAAATTTCAAAAAAGTTAAAACTTTGAAAACCCATGGTTTGGTACTTATTACTTGCTGAATTTCATCACAATCGGACAACACTTGTGGTCTGTAGCTCTGTACAGATTTGCTCATTCATTATGTATAAGTTAATCGTTATCAGTAATCTCCAATTTACCAAAGTGAATAACTTGTAAAAAAACAACAAACACATATAATTGTGTCTGAATTCTGGACCAGAGGCCATTATCAGCCAAGAACACTGCCAGTATCATCCAGTACCAGCAAAAACCTGGCCAGTATCAGAATCAGAATATAGTTTTATTGCCATAATAATACAAAAATGTACTGGGCATAAGTCACTAAAACTATCAAGTAAAACCAGACCCATTAAAATAAAGATACAAACTTCAATATCAGCCCAGTACTCGCCAGAACCTGGCCAGTATCAGCCCAGTACTCGCCAGAACCTGGCCAGTATCAGCCCAGTACCCTCCAGAACCTGTCCAGTATCATTCCAGAACCTGGCCAGTATCGCCCAGAACCTGGCCAGTATCGCCCAGAACCTGGCCAGTATCGCCCAGAACCTGGCCAGTCTCGCCCAGAACCTGGCCAGTACTTGTCAGTCCTGTGGCAGAACTGGTCAGTTCTGTGACAGTACTGGCCAGAACCTGGACCAGAAAATTTTTTTCACTAGGGATATTTCCTGTAGCGGATTCAGAGCATATTTTAAGGGATTTCCACTGGGCGACAGTGGCGCCAGACTAACCGGGGGGTCTGGGGGTTATGGAGTACCCCCCATGAAGATTTTTGCATAAGTTGAAGTGAAAATCACACATTTCTACGTAACTTCTAATGAATTTTTCAATTAAATTTGGTTGTAAATAGTCCATATAATCTCACTTAATTACGTATCCTAGAACATTGTAACAGGCCAAGGCTCCCTTCACAACCTCTTGCCCAAAATCATAGCTCAATATTTACATACCGTAAACCGGGGTGACTTGAACACACTCTTGACCTTCTCTTATATATACTTAGAAAAGTAGTTAAGATAATTTGGATTAAAAAATTGTTTTTGAAGGGTCTTAACTTAGACTACACAAAAATGGAACAATTACATTTTTAATTTTTGTTTTAAAATTTTGGGAAAAAAAATATGGTGTACCAAGTCACCCCGGGGCTGGGGTGACTTGAATACAGCATATATTTTAACATGGGACTTTAATGTGTAACAAGATATCAACAGCTGATAGGGGTGACATGAACACAGCATAAAACAGCTCTCAAAAAGTATTTTTAAACAGTTTTTATCTTAATTTTTATCGGAGTTATTGCAAAAAATATGATCGAACAACATTTACCGCAATTGGTTTAAATTATAGGTTATTCATCTATGCATTTAGGGATAAGGTTGAAACTATTTACATCCTTAAAAAAATATATAAAAAAACGCAAGTTCCGGTTTTTGAGAAAATTTCTTACCCCAAAACTTTTATCTGGCCTGACCAATTGACATGTTAAAAAATGAATTTTGTCATATCAGACACATATTTAGTCCTTCCTGATAACAAACTTTCAAATTACACTCTCTTATCATTGCAGATAAGACCACAAAAAATTTTCAAAGTAAAGTCAACATATTTTCATGTTTTTGGGGTGACTTGAACACACACGTTTTTCCCCTGTTTTTGCCTTCTTTTATGTGTTTTTTTAACATTTTTGCCTTATTTTTACATTATTCATAATCAAGAGTATTCATAATGTCAAGAAATGAAAAATAGGGTAAAACACCCATCTTAACAGTGTAAATATTGTAAATATATAGTGATAAGTGATTATTATTGAAACTAACGCTAATTTAACAACGGTGAAAAAAGCAACTTTTTGCGTTAAATTTAAAAATAGTTTGTATAATAAAAAAAAATATAAGTGATATTAGTATTTGAAGAGGAGTTCATCTACTACATTTTAAGGTAAACAGTTTCTTTATATCATTATTTTTAAATTTTTTATAGATTTATATATAATTACCGGTAAATTGCTGAGTGCATGGCAACGCTGGTGGCGCTGCCTACGGATTGACAGGCAATTCTCTCTCAAAACGCTTAATGCTTTTTACCATGCGGTTGGCATTCTGGGTTATAGTAGTACGTTTTCTGTGGTAAAAATTACCACTAATTCCCACCTATAATTTTGTGTTTCAGTTGAAGGCATATTTCTGATCCTCTCCACGACTGTCGTGACTGGCATCACTTCTCTGTCTATGTCTGCCATCTGCACCAACGGCTTGATCAAAGGAGGTACGGATCATTTTACATATTAATCTGAAAAAATAAAAGTAAAGATCATGTTAAAACCACTCAGTAACTAATCGGAATTTTTTGGAAATAATTACGTTTGTTTGGACATGATTAATATGTATATCACATGGTGGTTCCAACCAACCACCAGAGACAAATCAAAGACATAGAAACTTATTTGTTGTTTTTAGTGAATTCCCCACATAGGGAGTAAGCTATTACCTACCGTATAGGTCTCATGGTAAGACTTAGACCCGGGACCAAGGCAATTGGAAATTTGCTCAGTCTGCAGGTTTGCTGTGGTGGCGGTATTTGTGTTTTTTGGAAGTTTTGGGTTAAGGTAACGTCCAACCCTGGTTTAGTTACTTTCTAAGGTTATAATGGTTTTATTGTTAGATAGCATCATTATATATCCCAATAAATGGCATCTGCAACCAGAATTGATCCTGCTTAGGGCTTTAAATCAGCAACCTTCAGATTTGAAGGTGAAATCTATTAATACATTGCTTTCCAGACAGTTATAAAATGTATATACCTAGGATTGTAAAGGACACATTTTGCACCCACATTCATCAATTAAAACATGAGGATTCTCTTCAGAAATCCAAATCTAATAAAAGCCACTGCAATTCAACCTCCCTAATTTAAACATTCAATCTTCCATGAAATTCTAGTGAAGGAAATCACTGATAATGTGATTCATATTTTGTAACTCGCCAACTACATGCTACAGTACTGCAAGTCGTGCTGTATCCTGTGTTTAAATCTCGGCAATCATTACATTGGATCATTTCCATTGGGTCATTTCCTCTGCTTCCATTAAGGCTCATACCACCTGGAATTAGCTTGGAAAATTTCTCAGGAAGAAGTCCAATCATATTGAACTGCAAAGCAATAGTCTTCAAGTATATAAACTTTTCGTAAACGTAATTTTTTGGATTTCTTATTACTTTCTTCCTGAGGGAGACAGTTTTGAACTGGTGGTTGGGGACGAGCTGGTGCCAAAGCCTGGTTTAAGTCAGGGACTTGTTTGTCAGCTCGCTTTCTGTAAAAAAATCTTGTTTCTTTTTGGGCTTTGGCCATTTTCAATTATCTTCCAAACACATTCTGGGTCCCAAAACCCTAACATAACGTCTCCCTTTCCCCTACAAATCCTCAGCAATAGGGGATCATTGAGATTTCCTCTCCCCTTCATGGGGAAATTCTCATTCCTTTTTTAAAGTTCTGAGCTTGAGCCACTAGCCAGTATGTATCCCTGCTTCTTTCTGTTTACCTAGCTACTTTTTCCTAAACGTCTCAATTGTTTCCTTGTCCCTCATTAAGTTTTCTTTTCTCCACATTAGACCTTTCCTATCTAGAACGTCCTTCAGTTCTCTCCCATTTGCCTCCTGGAGTGAACAATTCATCAACACGTGACTTGCAATTTTCCATTTCTATTTCACCTGCATACTTCCTCTTACACCAGGTTTAATCTCTGCCTCTGCAGATTCGCTTCTTTGGCCTGTTGTTGGCTAAGATCAAAGTTGTAGTTGTTCTCCTTACTTATAATCCTTTAATACTGCAACTGGCATAAAAAAAACTCTTGATTCAGGCAAATTGAAGAGAACAAGATTGGGTGACCACAAAAAGGGCAAACAGGGTATGCTTAAGGGACAGACAGTGGTTCACACCCTAAGTCAAACAGCAGAAGTAGCCTTTAACAAACTGTGTTTTCAAGTTAAAATTTGACCCTAACGTTTTATTTCAGGTGGAACTTACTTCATGATCTCAAGATCTCTCGGTCCAGAGTTTGGAGCTTCTATCGGCCTTATCTTCTCGCTAGCCAATGCCGTTGCTTGTGCTATGTACACTGTGGGCTTCTGCGAGTCACTGCTGGATCTGCTTCGGATGTACGAGGTTTCCATTGTGGATGGAGGTGTGCAAGACATGCGGATTATCGGGTGTGTCACTATTCTTCTTCTTCTCTGCATTGTTGTTATAGGCATGGAGTGGGAAGCCAAGGTAAGAAGTTTTGTCATGACGTTCCTCTTGGTCTTCCTTCAGGGCTCCTCAATCCTCATTACTACTTTAAATTTCCACCCTTTTCAAAAACGTGCCCAGCCCATCTAATCCTTCTAAGAATTTTACTATCAAATATGACCAACTTTTTAAATTTTGTTACTCATTTCCATGTTTCTATTCCATAGAGTAATTGGACTGGAGATGGTTTTTAATGGCTTATTTTGTTGAATTTATAAAATTGAAGTAATTTCTTGAATTTTGGCTTTAGTAGAATAGCATCATTTTTTTATAGCCAATGACAAAAAGGCATTTGCCTTCACAATCGACTTTACTTGTGATTGAACCAGCGACCTTCAGATATGAGGATCAGCACTTTAACTACTCGGGTACCCAGGCAATTAGTGCTGCTTCTGAACACTTAACTCAAGGTTATGGTTTGAAAATGCAAGAAACCTACGAGTTCTTCAATTTTTATGAGGTGTAGAATAAATTTAGGGTTAAACCATATATACAGATAGAGTTTAAAAATATGAACGTATAGTACTATAATTGTTTTCCATCTACAACTCTATACCTTTCTAATTCATTGCAACATATTTTATTCTATATCTATTTACAGACTCAGATGGGGCTTCTCGTCATACTAGTGCTGGCAATTGCAGATTTCTTCATTGGCTCTTTCATCGGCCCAAAGAGTGATGAGGTCAAAGCTAAAGGATTCCTTGGTTTAAGTGGTAAGACATAAACAATGCAAAGTTCCATTAGAATGCATTTTATTACTCTCAATGAAGTACTTTAAAGGTACTTCTAGTTAACTGTAAAAATAATTAGTACTGTATGACCTATTAGCGAATGCCCAGCTATTGTTTATTTCAATTATTACTAATGGTAGTAAATTAAATAATCAATATAATTAATGTATTATGACTATTTTCCACAGTTTCACTGGTCAAAGACAACCTCATGTCTGATTACCGCCCAGTCAAAGGTGAAAATCATGATTTCTTCTCGGTGTTTGCTGTATTTTTCCCGGCCGCTTCTGGGTTTCTAGCTGGTGCCAACATTTCAGGGGATCTGCGTGTAAGTTTATTAATTAGTTTAAGCTAACTTTATTCAAGTGTTCCAGGTTTTCTTAAAAAAGAGAGATCTCAAAACATTATTTGGCTGTGTTCCCCCTCAACTAAATTCTGTGATTATACTTATGATTGTTTCCACAAAAATGAATTAGAGAATATGTTAACAAAATTAATTATCCTAAACGATTCATCAAAGTATCACAGAGAAAAAACAAAAGAATTTCTTCAGAGCTTCTGTGTTATCTTCTACATTCCACTGTGCAGGATCCTACTGGAGCTTTGCCCAAAGGAACGATTCTCTCAATCGTTATTACAACCACGTCGTACGTTGTAATGGCGTTCATGATGGGAGCCTCAGTATTGAGGGACGCAAGTGGTAAAGTAGAAGAATACTTCGCTGGTAACTTCACTGACTGCGCTACTCGTAAATGTGATTACGGCCTTCAGAACAACTTCCAGGTATGTTGTGCGTTTTTAAGGATGTTTATATTCACTTTTTTTTACAGATGCGAGTTGCCCCTGATATAGGGTTATAAATTAATAACGGCTTAATGGCCAAGCCAATCTTGAAGAATTAAAAAGCATTTGAGGAATTTATTGTTCTTCAAACAAAATAAAAATTAATTTTTGTGTTCCATGCGTCCGTTAAGGAGTATGTAAGCCAGAAACTGAACAAAGAATCAACTTTTTGTCCATAATGGTTTGAGAAAGCCCAACTTTGAAAAGCTACTGCGGCTCAGACAATGTAATACATTCAACACCAATGTAAATATAAATGGATGTATAAATGACTTCAAGAAACAACGAAACAATAATTTCTATATGAGGTGTCATTAAGGAGTTGTAAGAGAAAAAAGTGCAAAAACCTTTTTGGACTAAAAAGACTTGAGCACACGTCTGAATCTTACAGAGCTCTTATTTGGGACCCCCAAAAGATATTGAAACAATTCCACCTGTAGACAATTTTTCTGAAAGCATAATTAGAGAGTTCTTTAAAAACCGCTCCACTGACTTCTTTTCAAAACCCTACAGACACTCATATTCCCTATAGCACTTCAAACAGATATTGTACAGCAGTGTAAATTTAGTCGTTAGTTTCATGTATCTTTTAGATTAGATTAGATTTATATGTGGCGCTGACACACCTGTGAACTATCTTTTGCATTCTTTTTTAGTAAACAATGTCACTGTTTAAGGTGTATTTTTATTTTTTATTGAAGGATAAAAAACAGGAAATAGTATACAATTAATAGTTCTTTAGATTGCTGGAAAATAGAGAAACATTAGAAATTCAAAAGTCTACTGTATCATACTACTACGTGTATAACATGCTAAAAAATTACCTTAACTTGTAAGACCCCGTGATAGAAAATACATGATTTACTGTATCTACAGTCAACTGTTTCACAAATAAAGGCCCAGCTGTTCTTGACCTTGACCTCTGGGATATTAAATGGTCCTGACTAAAGAAATATGAGATCTTAGTCAGTAGCACAGCTGTCATCTCATCCACATATTATTCATCCTTCGCCCATGTTCACCACACACTTTGTGTGTCAGCGTTGTATGTAATCCAATCTATCTATACTATTATAAAAAAGAGGGGGTTGCTGTATGTGTGTATGTGTGTATGGGAAAAGTAAACTCGAAAAATACTGGTCGGATTGGCATGATGATAGCTCACATTCCCGATTAACATATAGGCATATTCTTATTTCAAAAATCCTTTCGGGCTCCGCCCCAGTGGCTCTGGAGTTTCCCATGTTAACCTTATGAGAAATGGAATTATTGAATCTTAACAGCTGTTTCAATTAAACAAGTTGGTTCTGTTCTATGATGTTCAATAGCATTAAAGTTACAAGGATTACCAACAGGGTGCAGCACTATTATTTCTTTTACATTTATGACAACAGCTAATTTGCAACCAAAAGGTGAGTGAGCGTAGCGAACGAACTTCAACCTGGAGGCGAGTTAGCGTAGCGAACGAGCTAACCTGAAGGCAAGTGAGCGCAGCGAACGAGCTCCAACCTAAAGGTGAGTGAGCGTAGCGAACGAGCTCCAACCTAAAGGTGAGTGAGCGTAGCGAACAAACTTCAACCAGGACGTGATTGAGCCATGCGAACGAGATAATCTTGAAAATTAAGAAGTTAAACGGGGCAAAGCCCGCGGGTTACAGCTAGTCAATTATAAATATGTGGTAAATTTTTCTCAGGTAGTAGAGCTAGTCAGCGTGTTCGGTCCGCTCATCTTCGCCGGATGTTTTGCGGCTACTCTCTCCTCAGCCCTCGCAAGTCTTGTCTCGGCACCAAAGGTGTTCCAGGCTCTGTGCAAAGACAAACTCTACCCGTACGTAGAATTCTTCGGCAAGGGATACGGCAAGAACCACGAGCCGATACGAGGATACGTGTTGACGTTTTTCATCGCCATATGTTTGATCTTGGTTGGTAAGTATTGCTTGGTAAAGTGGGAAAGTGAAATTGAAATATCCAGCTGAATCTAATAGCATTTTGAAAATATTAAGTAGTCCTCAAACTTTGTCAAAATAAGAAAGAAAGTAGACCAAAACTAAGAGGAAATAATTCTTCGGCAAGATGAATAGTACAAACTGAAACCATCTTAGAGTGTAAAAATAGGCAAATAATAACAGAAACAAAACATAAGAGATTACATATGAAATTGAATCCGGGATCTTCCTAAAAGTAGTATATATTATCTTTAAATGTTGTGGAGTATTAAAAAAATATACTTTTGCTGCAGTTAGGACTCAGAAACACACACTAAAAAGGCTTTTGACATAGTAGTGTACTCGTCCACAAGCTAAGTACATTTTAATTTAAATATATTGTGAAAAAATATAATATACCTATCTTTTAATCCTAGTTTGTTAAACTTTCAGGTGACCTCAACGCAATTGCACCGTTGATTTCCAACTTCTTTTTGGCTGCGTACGCACTTATCAACTTCAGTACATTCCATGCATCACTTATAAAACCAATTGGTTGGAGACCTACATTTAAGGTAGGATAATTTGTATATCTATGAATAGTTTAAATCTTCATAATGGAAATGAGTAACCAGTAATTCACCTGTAATCTCTGAAGAAGTTAATATTTTGAATTGAGTTATAACGAAATTTTCATTTAATTGTTTTTCTGTTGCAGTACTACAATTGCTGGCTGAGTCTGCTAGGTTCTGTGTTGTGCTGCGTAGTCATGTTCCTAATCTCCTGGGCTATGGCCCTTTTTACTTTCGCAGCCATGCTCACGCTGTACCTTCTAGTAGCTTACAGAAAACCAGGTAAAATAAAAATAAAATATTTTCCACTACACTGTCTCAAAAACAGCTGTCTTATCGATCGTTTTGAGTCCCTAACGATAGCTTTTTGCAGACTAGTGCATACAATTTTACGGACTCAAATGATATGGTTATGTCAAAGCTTATCAAAAAAAATCAGCTGTTCTGATCCTTTAAAATGCTTCAACAATATACAATAGAAACAAACTTTGTTTGTTTCTTACATAACAAAAAGTAAACGTTCCTTTTTAATCAAATAGTTTTGGCTATATTTGGTATTTTCTGCTATAATATATGACAATGTAATGAAAAATATTGTTTGTAACTCGTCCTAAACTGCTTTTTTGTGACTAAATCGAGTTAAACACGATATCGTCCCAAAAAAGCTTCTTTAGGGACTAGTAACGAAAACTATTATTTTGCAACACTCACATTATTGAAATCAGGAGAACACAGTCCTTGTCACTAAAGTTCATCGCACACACACATAAAAACATATTAATGAAATACAAAAATGAAAATAAACTATCAGACTAAAGTTCTCTAACTCCGACGTTTCGTCGCACCAATATCAACGTGTGGCGTTTTTAAGGTAATTTGTTCCTAACCACGACTGATTTAAATAAGTTGTGTGATATCTAAAAATATTTATCAAACTGAATTATTGACCTCACCTAAAAACTGTCGTTTAGAAATACAAATGCCTTTATTTATCAAGAGTTTCTCAGTAAAACTGCTTTTCAGAACAACTTTTGTCAATAGCAATAATTAAAATAAAAAACAATTATCATTGTCAATGTAATTTAATAGAACAATAACAAAATAGAAACAAGACATTATAGACTAAATAACAATTTAAACAATGTTAAATTAAAGCAGCATGATCTTTTCTAGACATAAATTATTTGATTTATTTTTACGAATAATCATATTAAATTATTTATATTTTCAAATAATATTACTTTCCAATTGATTTGTGCTGTATGCAATACGTAACAATTAAACAGCAAAAAATCAACCTTTAATTTTACTCTTCTAAATCAATTATAAATGGGTAAAGTAAATTATTTGATCAATTAGGTATAAAAAGTGTCAGTAAAATTATCGAAATTTGACAGACGTCAACTGGGGCTCAAGCACACAAGCCCAGATCTACCACAGCGCTCTAGCCTCGGTACACCAGCTGAGCAGAGTGGAGGATCACGTCAAGAACTACCGCCCTCAGATACTAGTGTTCTGCGGACTACCGAGCACTCGACCTCCGCTCATTGACTTCGCCCATCTCATCACCAAGAATGTCTCCTTGCTGGCTTGCGCTAACATTATCAAAGTAAGTTGTTCAAAAATGTTTTTTTTTACTGAAAAATTATTTAACATTCTACTAAACATTTTTTTTAAATTTACATGGCATTGTGGAGCTCTTTGTACTACTGGACGCAAAGTAGAGCTCTAAATATCCAAACTCCTATCAACCGGACTGTCAATTATCTGGTCATACTCAAGAAGAAAAAATACTGTTCCAGCTTCTGCCAGAAAAAATTAGTTATTGCAATAAAAATGTTTGCCAATTGTGTCCATCATGTGATAAGTCTATCATAGTGTCGTGTCAGTTATCAGGTTATGAGTCATCTGCCTAGAGCTACTGTCCTGTATGATTTTTTCTTGGAAGATCCAACAATCTCTGATCCCGTCCTCTGGTGAAAAAACTTAACTAACACATTGCAACTATCAATGCACAAAATCCAGACTGATTTGGAATATTTATAATGGTTTAAGTACCTGTATTCAGTAATCCAAACTGCTGCTTGTGGCAACTATAGTTTTTGGTTCAGCTAGGAACCGTCTTCAGGCCGTACAAGTTGTCGTTCAGGTTATCATACGAAGGTAAATAACCTGAACGACACCTTGTGCCGGAAGACGGATCCTAGCTGAACCGAAACTATACAGGGTGTTTATAAAAAAACTGATCGATTTTAAACAGTCATCGCTCTTTTATTTTTCATCACAATTTTTTAAAATTAATGTTAAATTAAAGACAATTTTCTTAAGTTTACGATGACACATTCACACTATCTTATTTCTACATGTTTTCCATTATTAGCTCTTAAATAATCAAGTCTCTGTTCGAGATCTGCCCAAACTCGCCGCATCATCGGAACATCAATTTCATCAAATGCTTCTCTGATCTTTTGCTTAATTTCTTCCAGGCTGTTGACTTTGTTGGAGTAAACACGATCTTTTACAAACCCCCAAACAAAAAAATCACATGGGGTTAGTCTGGCGACCTTGGTGGCCAAGGTATGGGTCCGTCACGGCCAATCCAACGATTTGGGAAAGGTTCGTCGAGACAGTCACGAACAAACCGTCTCCAATGAGGTGGAGCGCCATCTAGTTGTAGCATCATGTTCGGCTGCTCACTTTCAAACTGTGGAATGGCAAAGTTTTCCAACATATCCACGAAACTGGTCCCATTGATATTTATTTTGGCAAAAATAAAGAAAGGGTTGATCAATCTGTTGCAAGATAAGGCGCACCAAACATTCACCTTCTCACTATCCCTAGTATGATCCTGGTGAAATGAGGATTCTCAGATCCCCATATCCTGACATTGTGTCTGTTCACCTTCCTTGATACATGAAACGTAGCTTCATCAGAAAAAAATATCCGGTTTAAGAAGTTATTGTCAGTTTCTAAACGGTCAAGCATTGTAACTGCAAATTCTCTGCGTCTGGCCCAGTCTTGTCGCGTAATCTTTTGAACTATCTGTAACTTATAAGACCGAAAATGCAAAACTCTTTTTAACACTTTGTGTAGAGTGGAATGCTTAACATTCAACTCTCGAGCTGCAGATCTAGTTGATTGTCTCGGATTATTAAGAAATGATTGATGAATTCTTTGAACATTTTCTTCACTTATCCTTGGACGACCATTGCCTTTTCTGTGATGTATGCTCCCACGGGTCATGAACTTCTCATACCATGCTTTTAACGTGTTCTTTGAAGGAGGATTTCCGTTAAATCTCCTTCTAAATCTACGCTGAACAGCAAGAGGAGACTTAGTTTCTATTAACCACTCGACACACTGCGTCTTCACTCGAGGATCCATCATAAAATGTTACTTATTTGTTTTTGTTTATCACACAACAATGTAAGAAGGTACTGCTAATAAAAACAGCTGATTATAAAATTTTTTGAGTTTCCCTAACAAATAATGAAAACTAGAGGTTTCTACCTCTAACACGGAATGAGTGAGACAAAGTTAAAATCGATCAGGTTTTTTATAAACACCCTGTAGTTGCCACAAGCAGTAATTTGGATTACTGAATGCAGGTACTTAAGCCATTATGAATGTCAAAACGTAACGTCCGGAGGCTAACAACTCTTGAAAATGATTTTGAATACACTACAGAGAATAGCAGTCAAGTATATTGTTAGTTGTAATGTGTTAGTTAAGATTTTTCCCCTGAGGACAGGATCATTTCAGATCCCGAAACGATGTGGATTGTATTTTACCACGGTGATGGAAAGTGTCCACAATAAACCTTTAAACAACATCTAGATTTTCTTTATTAATTAGGGGTATTGTCCTATCCTATATTGATCCGGAAAGATGGGGTTTTACTGTATGGTACTCTGATACGTCTCAAGACAATTATAGGAACTAACACATTCACATCTGCAGGTTCCAGTGTCACAGAAGGTCCAGATGTTGCTATCCCACAAAGCTCGCAGCTGGTTGCTGAGCCACAAGATCAAAGCGTTCTACTCGCAGATCGACGGCTGCGCCTTCCAAGAAGGAGCTCGAGCACTCATGGCGGCTTGTGGCCTCGGCAAACTGAAACCGAACATCGTCTTGCTTGGGTACAAGTCTGACTGGGCTACGTGTGACCGAACTGAGCTCACAATGTATTTCAACACTGTTCAGTAAGTTTGAAAACATTTATATGGGGTGAAGAATGGTAATTTACATTTGTAGAATTTACGCTGTAGCGAGAGAGAGGTTGAGGATTAGTTTCTACAGTGAGAGGTTTTGAGGTCTGTATTTAATTGCTGCCAGCTTATGATTAAGAGGACGAAGGTCTGTTTACAGTTGCATCTACGCGATCTATGATTTATCGTCATTTAAGAACATGTCAATGAGGGCAACTGCAAATCGCCACCCGAAAACCAAGCTGAACATTAATGAATGGGTGGAAGTAAAATAACTTCATCACAAAACTACCACTCCTTGCTTGCACTCAATATTAGACAACCATACAAAAGATTAAACTCATGTTCATTGTAAACCAAGCCTATCTTCTCATGAAACAAACAACTCCGCCATAGCGTAAATAAAGTGCAACCTCGGTATAACGAATCTGAAGGGACCGAACAGAATATTCGTTATATCAAGGATTTCGTTAAAACAAGGTTTTTTATATTGAGGTTAGGTTTGCAGGAATTTCGCTAAGCCGAGGTTCAGAACCAGCATCATAGGCCAGGATTTGACCTCATTAAAACGCAATTAAAGTAGCATCGGCCACAATACTTTACAGTACAGTGTTTACACTGTAAAGTAGAACCTAAATTTTCCGAGATAATAAAGGGAAGGGATCTTTAATGCAGTAGACTCCCTCTTATCCGGACTCCTCGGGATCGAGGCCTGTCCGGATAACGGGTTTTCCGGTTAAACCGACGTCTCCAAAAACTCGTTAAAACGGACTGTTTACTGTGATATTCAACTTAAATTTATGAGAGCATTGTATTTAGACACGTGATCACTGGTCTCAAATCTTTCCCACGAGAACAGTTGTTTCAGTACTGCCCACTTTCTGCCGATCTAGTCCGGTTAAACCAGTGTGCTGATAAAAATTGTCCTATTAAAGAGATATTATTTCCGCCGAGTGTAGTCCGGTTAAACCGATGTCCGGTTAAAAGGTGTCCGGATAAGAGGGAGTCTACTGTATTGCGCAATCATGAAATTTCTAGCCATTGACCTTGGTACTAGGTTACGAACTCTAAGTTTAAAATCACAGCTTACTCTAACCCACCTAAAACCTAACCAAACATTCTATTGTATTGTCATAAACCACATAAAGAACAAAACAAAACAGTAGAGAGTTTTGTAAGCTACTGCTCGTGACAGGCCAGTAGGCTACAGAACTGATTTATCACAACAGAAGGCATGTCAATAATAATCATCAACTATGACGTCACCTTTCCATTTCATTTGTTGAAGAAACAGATTTTCCAAAAACAATAAGGGGGGGGGGATTTGTTATATCGAGGGAAATACGTAGAGAATTCATTAAGTAGAGGTTAAATTCGTTATGTAGAGGTTCTGACAGTGATAAATTCGTTATATTGAGATGTCTTATTGAAGTTAAATCAGTCCTGAGTATGTAACATAGCGCGCAGCGACAGCAGACAGAGATGTGTAAAACGGAGCAGACGAATGTTAGCGCAAGCGATGACGTCACTTTTCCATTTCATTTGTTGAAGAAACAGATTTTCCAAAAACAATAAGGGGGGATTTGTTATATTGAGGGAAATACGTAGAGAATTCGTTAAGTAGAGGTTGAATTCGCAATGTAGAGGTTCTGACAGTGATAAATTTGCTATATTGAGGTGTCTTATTTTAACCGAAATCACAAAAAATTCGTTAAATCAAGGTCATTGTTATGGTCTGTTCGTTATGTAGAGGTAAATTATACATTGTGTCTTATGGAGATTTCTAGGGGATTGAAAATAATTCGTTATATCAAGGAATTTGTTATATCGAGGTTCGTTATATCAAGGTTAGACTGTAAAAAAAAATAGTCAGAAGGTACATTTCCATATTTTAAACAATACTTCTCTATTTTTGTACTTTCAAACTGTACCTGAGCCAAAAACCAATTTGTGTCTCCTCCTCATAGTTTTAAATCATCATGTAATATTTTTGTGTTGTGAAAAAACTTCCTATTATAATGTATTAAATGAAAATGGGCTATATAGACAAAGGTAAGGCCTCATGGCCGTTTATAACAGTGTCACTTTATTCAGTCAAAATACATTCTCTCTTTATCCCACAAGAAATTAGTCGATACAAACGTCAAATACACTCAACTTCTGTAGTCAATGCAGCAAACAAATTATGCATGATATTCCAGTAAGGCTTTGGACTTGTACCTCGCAGTGGCTATTCTGCGAGTGCAAGAAGGCCTGGATTACTCCAAGATACTTGCGGATGAGTTTCCTCATTGTGAGCTGAACGGAGCAATCCCAGAATCCCCGGCGTCCAGCCCTGTCAAACAACCGTCTGAACCAATCACAAGAGACCAGTCATACTCAGATCTATCTCAGGGTAAGACATGTTTTATGTAAGAGAAGAGATCATTTAAAGAATAATAAAACATTGTGGTATAAGATAAGATAATTTAACACGTTCACTGCGGCCCCATCAATGGCAGGTGTAGCCCCGATGCGGCAAAGCGTCGAGCAAATCCGTCTGCTTTCAAATATTTCGGTCTGACGAATAGAAAATGACGTGCGGTGATGTTCTGCGTTACGAAGAGAGTTGACGTAGTTTGCTGAAACACTCACAGATAGCAGGGCTGTCTGGAACTAGCCGGTCCCATTATATTGCCAACTGGAGGGAGAAAGACGGGACAACAAGTTGATTTCTAAGCTTGCCAGAAGGGGATTTTACGGGGAAATTTACTACCAACCTACACCATTATATAGCACCTGTTCCTAGCTAAACGCAGACATAAAAATAGGTACCCGTTCTTCCCGGTGTGCTGCTGCGCAGAAATGGAATGGAATGTAGACGATGTCACCACTCACGGGTGAGCGTTCAGGTTGGCAGAAAGGAGCTAGAGCCACTCACTCACTGAGCCATTACTGTGTCTTAATTATTGTTTGTGCTATTTTAACAAAATGACACTTGTTATCGAGCTCCCTCCGCAGTAGATCTTTTTGAATCAAAAACTAGTTTTAATAGGTGTCGACTTCTCCGTCTACTAAAAGCATAAAAGGAGTTTTATTGTATTAAAAATTATCAGATACTGTTACTAACATCAGTAACAACAGGATAAAGAATTTAAAAAGTTTACATTTTGACAAAATAAGAATTAACATTATTTAGGCATTTTACAAGGCTAACTTAATTGTAACCGAACAGTAAATATCTGTATAAGGTACAAACATTTCTAGAAGAAAATAATGTAATAGTTAAACTAACATGTTTGATTCAATTTAATATGAGTATTGTTTAAAAATATTATTGGTAGAGGTGTTACTTTATCACTTCAAAATGCATTGTTGTAGAAGTTGAAAGTAGCGGAAGTGAGCTGTCGGCTCCTAACAGTCCGAGAAGTCCTCGGGTTAAGACAAACGGAATAAGCAGCGAGAGCAGGAAAAAGAAGGAATCAAGAACTGATCTCTTCAGGTACGCAAATAAAATCACTGCTCCCGTTAACTAATTCCTTCCAACTTTAATTCTAACCATCACTTTTAGTTAAATTATCTTCTACATAGTTTCATAATTTTATTATTTAATTTATAGTTTCATAATTTATTTCCCTCACTTTTTTTGTGTGTTCCAATATTATTTTATTTTTTATAGAGGAATTAATGGGAATAAGTTGTCTAAAAATGTGATCAACAACTTGACTCAATTTCAAAGGAAACAAAAGAAAGGGACAATTGATGTTTGGTGGCTTTACGATGATGGAGGTAAGTTTCTAACCTCTCTTTTCTTAGAGTAAAAATAGGTATTACACTCAGCAATGCAATTTAGAGAGAAAAAATTAAATTATAAAATTATAATGGAATTTAATTATTCAATACCAGCCTCAGCATCCTAGTGCTTTAAATTAACTAATCTACATGGTAGTCGTGAATCATTGGAAATTTAAAATGTTCTCATTCAAAGATATTTAAAAAATACAAATATTTATTAGTAATGAATGAGTTTGAGAAAATATAGTTGTTTAAATAAGTGAAAAGTTGACTATGATTTTTATCACATTCAAATTTTATTCAAATTAACATGTTTTGCAACTTAACAAATTGGTACAGTAAGTAAGATAAGAAGATATAAGGAATTTGGATTGAAAATCTTAAAAAAGTGAGAAAGCGAGGATAGTTTTATAATAATTCTTTGAATCACTTATTACCAAAACCAAGAGTCGTTTAATCAATGTGTTTTTTAAGGGAAAAGGTGCCATTATCTTATATTTTTAATGATAATATCTTATAATGTTTTATCTAGCCGGGCTATTAGGTTACCTACCTAATCTTGGTTAAATATATAAGACATTTTGAATAAATTACTGGGTTTAACTTACATTTGTTTAGGTTTGACATTGTTGCTGCCTTACATTATCTCTACTCGACGCAACTGGGAGAATTGTAAACTAAGAGTCTTCACGATCGCAAATAAAAAAGACGAACTTCAGTTTGAACAGCGAAAGTAAGTAAAGACGTTACTTTGAAATGTGCAAGTTAACTTCTTATTGGTAAAATTTGAGTACCCTACTTTAACTATATTAGCTGAAATTGCATTGCATACAAGAAAATATTAACCATGATTGGGACTTAGTAGTTAAACTTTATAAATAAGTCAAAAATTCTAAGAAATACTCTTAGTCTAGGAAAAGATTTCCTGAAATTATCACTAAAACCCAAAGTCCTTGAATTTTCATATAAATTACATTTTTTACTCCTCTGAAGGAAGTTGAAATCAAAACATAGTCATATTTTCATTCAAGATAAGACATAAAATATCAATGATTCATAAAACCAATTGACAGCGATCACAATTAATTGCATACCCATGTCTGAGACATAGTGAGATAGTGTCAGTGCGCACTACCTTGACCATGACCAAACGCCCGACCGGTCGTTGTTGTTCACCATGCGACCAGAGCACGACCCGACCAAGGCAACGGAATGTTAAACAAACCTCAGGGTCAAGATGGATGTTGAACAAGTGGCTAAATGAGTAACGTTTTTATGTCCACTAAACATCAGTGTGATCTCCTCCCAAGCTTCCTTTTTCACCCTTCTCTTGGAATAATTTACTGCTGATAGATCCCATGAACAGAGAGTCCTCCTTTAATTGCCACAATAAAACTCTCAGTGTCAAAATCCTGTGACATTTTACAAAAGAAGCCACTTCACAAACCACACAAAAACAAGAGCTGGGGAGTGGTGTACTGGTCGGGTCGGAGACAAATCAGGAGTAGTACGCGTCACTCCATTACAATGTGTTCTATTTTTGGCTGCAACAGCCAGTGAGTCGGGCCCGTCCGTCCAGGGTCCGACCAGTCGACCAGTGCGCGCTGTTCCATTTACGCCTATTATAAAACTGGCCGTATCCAACCGGTCGTAGTCGTGGTCGTGGCCGTGGTCGGGCTAGTGCGCGCCAGCCCTAACAGAATAAACAGCATATTTTACCATCGATGAATCTGCATGCTAGTCATAGTTTGTAATATTGATAAGATTTTTAAAAAAAAATTAAATAAATACACAATAGATGGTTTATTTAACATGGTTTGGAAAGAACTGACAAATGTAAACAAGTAATATAAACATAAACAGATCATAATAAAAAATATGATTTTATGTTCAAATGGCAGGCAGTGGATAGTAGACATAGAGTAGTTCTAACAAATGCCACTAAACGGTTCAGGTAGGTATACAGGAGAAAAAAACCTTTGTCGTGTACGAAAAAAACTAATAAAAATTGTTAATTTTCAGCATGGCAAGTCTCCTAGCTAAGTTCCGAATCGACTATTCTGATCTTAAGGTTATCACAGACGTCACGAAGAAACCTCAAGACTCCACAGTGGCTTATTTTGACGAACTTATAAAAAATTTCAAAGCTACAGATGAAAAAAGACACTCAGGTAATTATGATGTATGGAAAAAATACCGAGAATAAATCAAAACATTTCCAGAATCTACTTTCAAAGACAGAATTAGTAAGGAAGTATTAAACCTGAATTATGCTTTAATTTTAATCGACTCTTGGCAGTCATGCAATTCACTATTCCACATGAGGGATACTTTAATACACCAGGGAGTATCATCCACAGTGCATGCCTATAAATATCCACAATTTGTGACCTCCTAGTAGCTGGATTACAGGACGACGCCACCGTCCCAGTCATGTTATACATCTAAGGTTGGACTCACTATTTTGTGGTAGGTTTTGTGGTAGTGAGTGGCGGTTATTGGTACAAAATGTAGTTTTTATGAGGATCAAATGATGAAATTTCTTACAGATTCTGTTGCATGTATCGCACTTTAAGTCTTTAAATGTTTGCACACAGCCTCGATATCAGAAGCAGAACTTGTGGCGATGACGGAGAAGACGAATCGCCACCTACGTCTGCGTGAACTACTGCTTGAATACTCTTCCACAGCAAACTTGATCGTTATGTAAGTTTTTTTACATTGATAACATGTTACATTTTAAACATTTTGTTTCTTTTGGAGTCATTTTACATCGTTACATCAATACTATAATTCATACTAGAGGTCGTCCAGTGTTCAAAAACTCTCTATTCTTACCCCACACTGCAAATAAATCATGTGATTGGAATATCATCCATTTGGTTTGATTTCCTGTTTATATTTCGTTGTTATTTCGTTAACCATTATAGCAACCCATAAGGCCCATGTTAATTTTTTTTAAATTTTAAATAATTTTTTTGCGCTTATTTTTTGCCTATTTTAATTTATAAAGGGACTCTGCACACCTACAGGAAAATATCTTTCTAACGATAGATTTTCCCTTCGATGCACACGAGCTGAGAAAAAAAGTTTTAAAGAAACATGTTTGCCTATTAATATATAGATTTTAACCTGACCATGAGTAAAAGACGAGTAGAATGGAGTAAGAAATCTAGATTTAGCAGCTGTTTTCTTAGCAGCGATCATATTTTTTAAGCACACTGATCAAGGATGGTTGGGCATTGTTTTGAAACATCGAAAAGCTTCTGACTTTACAGGATCAAACCAACCACCATCTCAATACTATGAAGCTCTATAGCATTTTTATAAATATAATTTATTATTTATTGTGACCCTTAGGAATATATTATTGATAAAACAAAATGATTACCTTTTCCAACCACAGTTGTTGGTATAAAGACTAGATTCGTTATGTAGAACTTCACCATTGATCAAGATCAAGTCATTTTGTATGCAATCACATCATCAATGTGTGGTATGTTAATATATTCATTAAAAGACTGTCACAGACACAATAGTTAAAACTTGTCATGTCGTTAAAATAATTCAAATGGAATAAAAATTTATAAAACTGTACAGGCTGGCCAGCACTGTCTTATTAATCACTTCCACTGACTAAATAAAACTGGCTGAATCATGATATTTCTTCTTCTCTCCAATGCCACCTGTATTTCAGTTTGTTAAGTTCATCTTATTTTATACTTCTTTGATTAGTAACTTGTAAATATAAAATATATATATATCAAAAATAATATTTTACTGGAAAGAAGTCTGATAATTTAAAATGTTACATGGGTCGAGTTTTTTTAGCTGTGTAGATGGTGAATTCTTCTTCAACATCAAGCATAAAGCTTTTTGGTTATACTTCAACCATTTCCATGTTCTTATCAATATATATGTGTAATTGGGCGATTCCGATATTAAATGTTCGGCATAACTAGATTGCTGATGTTGTGATTTTTTAGGTATATTATGTTCTTTACATCTTTGTTTGAAAGATCTTCCAGTTTGGCCGATGTAGTACCTACTTTGGACAGTCGTCACTGTTAATTCTATAGATACCTGATTTTTCATAGTTGCTTTTGGCGACAGGTTTTAGGTGAAGTTGTGCAACCATGAAAATAATATAATTTGTGCGTTCATCATACTGATATGTATAAAATTGAAATCAACTGTTTTTATTGAACAGTATTTAATTTTGTTTTGAAAGGCCATTTTTAAATTGTGAGTTTTTACAATTTTTTTTAAATGATATTTTACATGAATGATTCAATTATTGTTTTAAAGAGAATGATTTTAAAGTTATTTTCTTAAACCGAGTTTATCATTGAAAGAATTTTACACTAAAGGTAACTCTGTTCTGTTTGACATGACGTGATCGTGGAAGGTCAGAGAGCTGAAAGCCTTCTATGTCTGTTTTAGGACTAATTTATCTTCAGCTACAATAAAATCTTTTGCAGTAGAGAAAACTTTAGTTTTCATCTTACACGGAAAACCAAAGGTGTCACAAACAATCTTCTTTCTAAAATGAGATTATAGGTTTTATTTAGTATAATGTATGGAACCTAATTTTAACATTTTAATTTTTATTAATATGAGTTGCAAACAAATAGACAGACAAACGTACAGAAACCACCTCTCCTTCATAGTAAATATACTGTATACCATCCTGTAAATATGTCAAGTGTAGCATTGGAAGATATATTTTTAACTGTAGAATGGTCATAAACATATTTTAATGTTTTACTGACAATTTTCAGGACACAACCGATGCCAAGAAAGAACGTAGAGAGCGCAACGCTGTACATGGCATGGCTCGAGACTTTGACAAAAGACATGCCTCCGTTTCTTCTCGTCAGGGGTAACCAGCAGTCAGTGTTGACATTCTATTCGTAATCAACTGATTGTTGAGGAAAAGCTCTCTAGGACTACAGCTGTTGTTACAGCTTTTATCTCCATTGCATTGAAGTTGACAGTTAAAATCCCCCTTAATTTGAATCAAATAGGCTTTTCTCCACTGTATTTAGATATAGAGAATTCTTGAAGGGGTATTTCAGTGGCGGCTAGTGCGGCAGTATCGTACTGACTTCTGTAAAGCTTTAGTTATTATGATTTCTACAATGTTGTTGTTGCTGCAAACAAAAGGACCTTAAACATGGATTATACATACATCACTGTAAATTTATCATGATTACGAATCAGCTCAAAACAGTTTTAACATTAGTTCTGTTTGGATTATGAAGAAGGTATCTTGTTAGGTATTTGGTTGATTTTTTTACATGCAAACCATAGAATTTACTTTGATTTTTAATGTCAGTCCTTAGTATCTAGGTACGGTACCTCTGAAAATATATTATCCAGTTCCATTAGTAAATCGTAAATATTTTCTTGGCTGGTAAAATAAGGGTTTAAAATATTTTGTAAGCATAAAAATTTTAAAAAAAGTACAGTATATTTGAATACTATATTGTTCAAAACCATATTAATAATTAATTTATGATTACATTGTATTATTCTGAGTGACTTTCTACTCCATAGTCCACACGGACCAGCTGCCACTCGTTTTGTTTTTCTTTCAAAAAATGGCTGTTATAACAATTTTGCTAGCTTTGTGATTTATAGCTTTATGTATTGTTTTTATCTCGCCTTTGTAACTCTTTTATGAGTTCAAATTTATGAAAGAAATTTAGATTAATATCTTGTATAACATGTTAATCAAACTGTCGACTTGTAATAATTGAAATGTCAATTGAAACCATTGTTTTGTTTCTGCAATACTTCAGGGGATTTGTTAGTTCACAAACCTAAAAAAATTACTACTATTTATAAGGGAATAGTTGTCAACAAAAGTAATGGATTGAGAGAAATCAAAATAAAGTAATGAAAATAGTTTATATTTTTATTATTATATAGTATTTTAAATAAATAATCAGTATTATGAGTGTAGTTTTTTATATTATTATAATAAAAAAGTATATTTATAAATGAAAAGTTGTATTTATTTGACATGTGCCTAGTTTAGCATAGATACAATACAAGAAAAAGATATTGTTCCTTAACAATAACTATTTTACTAAAATTCTCTGAATTGACATAAGTTTATCTTTGTAAAAAATTTAGGAAATTTAAAAATGTTTAGTTAAAAAAGTTTCTATTCAAATAACTATACCTGTTATTGAGAACAGTTCTTCATTCAAGATATTTTTAGGATTTTTTATTGAATGATTGAGGATAGAAGTGGTTTTTATGTAAAAAAAAATGAAATTAACATATCAATCCAGCATCCCTTACTTCGAACCTTTATGTCTAATAATGTCTTAAAACCCAAATAAGGACATTGATGTGGTAAAAGTAGTAATACGTTTTTCCAAACATTTCCTTGATAAAAGTGTTTGACGAAACACAAATAACCATAATGATTTACAAATGTAGTTTGAAAAACGCTGAAAGCTTTCTATTGTAGATGGAATACTAGGCAAAGGATAAACAAAACTGCTTATTTGTTAGTGAAATTTATATTCATAAAAACAATCACCACAGAATTGGACAGATTTAACAATCAATAATTTCAATAACTGTACAGCTATAAATGTATAAAATGGTATTTACAACTTTACAATAAAATGTACAAATTCATTTACTATGAAAGCTTCATCGACAACCTTGGTCATCTAGGCATTGTGGTGACTAGACAAAGTAAGTAAGCACAAAAACGTAATTCATATTGATACAACACTCTGAAAGCTAGGCTATAGTTTTGTTTATTGGTCCTTAGGAATATTTCAGTATTTGTTTGAACTCTTGCTTGGTGTCTGATAAAAAAATCAATACTGAAAGTAATACTGTACTGGCTTTTAAAATGTGAAGACTTAAAATCTTTTTTAGTTGTTGAAAACATAACCCACAGAAATCACAGTATACACAGTAGACTCAATCATTCAAGTGCCAATATTGTACACCCAGCACACCAAAGTAATTTCAGTTGCAACCGTTTTATTGTAAAAAACACCTGTTACAAGTTTTGTACTTGGTTCGTATGGTAAAAGAAAGAGTCACTTGCTATACCTTGTTTTGCAATTATCAATTAAAAACCATTGAGATGGGGACGCTACCTAGGTGCGAATTTTAAACCAATGAGTGAAGGATGAGTGTACTGTAGAATGGTGTGAGATGATCTGTGTAGCTTTGTTACCGACTAAGATCAGCTGATTCATTAGCCAGGATCGTTTATTTAAAGCCCAATGCAAAGATAGAGTGATAACTGATTCAAGAAAGATAAACTTTTACGTTTAGGGGCTTCATTAGAAGTCACAAGAGTCTGCAGTTGGCGGACATCGCTCGTTCACAAATTTTTGACACTAATTAAAATGTACTAAACAATATTTTCAAATCAGCTGGTATTATAAGATTTGGCAACAACGCACGGTCCTCATCGGCTCCTTCGAAGTCACGTCGTAAATAGGCTCCTACCTCAACTGCAAACTCTCGTGGACCGTACTGTAGGTACTGATTGCTTATGAATGTCTTCAGTCCTGTAATCTTGCTAATCCAAAGCCGTCTAGATAGTGCCACATTATTGACACTCTATTGCAATAATTAAAAAAGTGACAATGCCAGAGAAGATTATTTAATATTTTTACTAATTCAAAACGAGTATAGTCTGATAGCCATGATTTTTTTTGTTTGGTCCCTAAAAATCTGTATGAAACTTGTCAATGTTTGTGGTTTTCTATGGGTAACATTTTACCATCCAAAGAACACATTTTTTCCATCCCACTACTTCACAGTTTCTCATAAGTTCGATTACAAGAAATACTATTACTTACAAGAATCATTAAGAATTTGATTTTAGTCAAAACATACAACATGAATATCCAAGGAAGAAACAATAACAATGACAATATGAATTTAAAAATTAAATAAAACACAATTATTGTGAAAATATAGGCCTACACTTAGACAATTGTGAAATAAATTACTAACATTGGAAAAAGATCCTTACATTACAAATGTTTTAAAACTTATATACTATACAACCTGATTATACTATCGCTGAATATCGCAAAAATGCATCTCTACTTGATACTTTGGCGGAACAACGGTTTGGGTCTTGGGGCATCCACAGAGTCTTTAGCCGCACTGGAGGCAGTTGGACGCATGAAGCTGTTAGTCGCTCGTCGAGGCCCAATACTGCTACCGCTGCTGCTACTGCGACTGGCCGGAACACCGGACATGTTGTTCTCCTTGAAGCTAGTGCTGAGGCCGAGAGATACCTGGGGACGTCTGGGTGTAGGGCCAATACTACTACCACTACTGCTACTACGGCTTGCAGGCACTGGGGTTTTACTCTTCAACTGCACCGGGGCGAGTGGCTTCTTCAACGAGGTTGACTTTCTTAAATCGGAGGTCAAAGTTTTAATGGCGTTAGTGTAATTGTTTATACCTGGAACAGGTCTTATGTTTCGAACCGTACTGACAGAAGTAGCACTGTTCAAAGAGCTTCTAGAACTACGCAAACTGCTTCTAGAATTGGAGCGCTCCACTTTCTTCTTCGTGGGGGAAGATGTTGAAGTGATTTTGTTGCTGGAAGTGAGCTTAGACGGAGTTCTCTCTATAGTTGTAGGCCTTTTGTAGGAACCAGAGAGAGTTCTTCTGATGGAAGATTCTGTTTTCGGTTCTGGTGGACGTGGTGCTGTCTGATTCAATGATTTTCTTGAGTCTGAAGTTCTAAGATTGCTTCTACTCCCTTGCTTGGACAAAGTTGTAGAGTTTGATGGTTGTCTAGGGACAGAACTTCGAGTGAGACTTGCTTGGGAATCTGTCTTCCTCAGACTGGAACTTCTTGGGATGATACTTCTCCTTTCTGGTAACCTCATTGAAGACGTTCGTGATATTTTGGTCTTGTTACTTCCCACGTTAGTGTCCCCACTTCCACTGCTGTCAGCCCTTGACAGTTTGCCACCTTTGCTTTTTGTTGTGTCTTTATTATCCCCTTCATAATTGCACCCTGATGAAGTTCCTTGACTCGGTGTGTCCGAAACTAAACTCTGAGTCTCTTCAAACCCTTCATCATTCAATTCGTGTTCTGTCCTTTGTTTAGAAGGTGTTGAAGCTTGAACTCTTATCTCTGGAATAAATTCGCTCTTGGACTGTGTTGCACTTCTACCTTCGTGAGTTGACCTTCTCACTGTGGGTAGATTAGAAATGGGTGTACTTGAATGTCCTCTTTCTTGTGTCTTACTATCAGTTGATAAATCTGGTTTAGTATTCGAGTCTTTGTTGCTCATAAAAGCGTCTTGTTGAAACCCATATTTTCTAATTGCCTGAGATACATCACTCGGTTCAACATTGCTTCGATGCCTGATAGACCGTGGTAGCGTGCGAGAACTGTACGCCTCATTTGCTAACGAGTCTTTGGGATTCTCTGAAGTGGATTGATTAGAAATGTTGTTATCTTTGAATGAATCTGAACGGGAAATACTCGGTCTATGTCTCATCGATCTAGGCAAGGTGGAAGACTTCCCAAGGTTTTGAAGTTCTTCTCCAGACTTGATTATATCCCCTATAGCTTCTTCTTCCATTTTAATTTCGTTCCCTCTATACTTAAGTCTGTCTTGCCATTTTTTCAACCTGGACTCAGTATCTTGAGGAACCTGTTGAGGTACTGGATAAGATTGCACTTGCAATGTTGCCGGTCTGATTACTTGTTTATCTGGTATCAACTCAGGTGAAACTACTTCCGTCCTTCTGGTCGGCTCCTCCTCATTGCTTTTCCGGTACCTCCTCGTCCTGCGAGCAGATGAAAATCTATTGAACTGACCGTCTCCCATTTCCTCTTCTTCACCTTTAGCATCCTCATTAGACTGACTACGACTCAAGGTCCCATCTGATGGTATATCACTTAATCCTTGTCCAGATTTTAATCCTCCCAGTTTCCTTGTTGCAGGAGGAGTTTCTATATTATCTGAATCAATTTCGACCCTATCTGTAACGCCTACTGAGTGATCTATTGAGCTTTTCCTGAGTCTTCGTGGTGCAAAGGGTGGCAACGATTGCTCTTCATTTTCAGAAGGAGAGGACGGGATTCTTCTGGCCAAAAGAGGACTGAACTTCTGACGTAACTTATTGGTCTCTGGAGATGATGGATCAGTCGCTCCTGGTTGTCTGATGTACATTGTCAAAGTCATCTCATCTGGCATCTGTCCAAGACTGTTGATGATTCCTTTCCGTTTTTCTTCTTCTGTAATTGCCTGTAAAAATAAAAGCACAATTTAACTGAAAAATAAACCATATTTACTATATAATATTCAATTCAAGCTAATGTCAGTTGGTATATGTTTAACTTTTAAAGTTATAATCATTTATATAAATAAACGTTCACAGTTCAAACAGATGGAGTACAGTGACTGACAAAGTGTTGTTATAAGACCCGGCATAGTTTACTCACCTGTAGAGTGGAAGCTGGCATTCCCTCCAGACTGGTCCTGGACCGCAGCCTCCTCAGTCGACGCTGCTCCGCCTCCGACTCCTCTCCAGAGCTAGGAATGTTCAGGTTGGACTTCCTCCACGCAGACTTGTCTTTCACTTTACTCTCAGCTCCTGCTATTCAAAATAATGTTTATCCACTCTCCATTATAAAACATAATATAGAAGTTTAATCAAACAGTTTTTCTTTTACGGAGACTCAATTAAGTTTTGTAAAATACACTAAATTATGATTTATACACAATTTAGTTCAAACAAAGCTGTATCAGATAATTTATTTTGAGTGGCCCAAAATAAAACCGAACAACTTTGTTGCAGACCCTTTAACTCTCAAGAGAATTTACAGACTGTTAAAAAAACTCTTGTCAGTCTTTTCAGCTTAGTTGTTTCGTTCTTTTTTAGTTTCAGCTTCAGTATGTGCAAGGGTTTAATGTGCTGCTTGTAACATTATAAGAGCACCAAATTATTCTACTGATTTTGCTGGCATTTATAACTTTTTTATAGATTAAATTATTTTAAATCTTATTACTAACCAACAACCAACCATTCTTGGGGTGTGACACTAGCCTAGTGGTTATCAAATCAGACTTCAGTGGGGGAGGGAAGGGTTAATCCCCAGCATGTCCAGAAAATCTTTAGAGATTTGAATCCCTTTTCTTTAAAGCGTCGCATTTGATACAGAATTCCACTGGCATAGACACTTCACAAGCACTAACAAAAGTTCAAAGTGAAAAATCTAGAGAATTAGTGGAGCAGTAATATTTACAAATTAAAAAGTATACTCTGAGTCAAGGATCCAGAAGTTGACTGACCTGCAATGGCCTCCATTGCTCCGACGACGTCCGTCTTGTCGACTGTCGGCCGCCAGTCCGAGTACACCCTCTTGTACTGCGGCGTCCCCGAGGCAAGCTTACCTTCAGGCAATGTATCCAGCGTCAGAGATCTCTCACTCTCTGCATTTGTTAAGCATTATCACCAATCATACGATTGTAAATTGCCCATTTAACATAAGTTTACCGAATTATTCAACTTTCATCGTCATCTAACATCGTAGAATAAGGAAAAGATACTTGGAAAATACATCCAATGTGATTTAACATCCCAAAATAACATCACAGGTATATTTAAATTCATAAACTCATATTCTCATAAATAATGAGAGCAGTCGTTAGGTTATTAGAGTAAATGACTTTTCATCTGACAAGACACATATAGCATTTTTACCCAGTTTATATGTATGTAAAAAGATGGCTGAATTTATCCAATTTTGAGCTCTCTTGACCGAATTGTTCTTCCAGACAAAAAGTCAATTTATCCATGTACACTACTTGTTTCTGAAGCAAAAACTAAGTGTTGGACTGGAGTAGAATACCCTAGAAAGGACTTCAATGTGCAAGAGACTTAAACTTTCCAAACAAATAATTTATTTCCCTTTCTCATATGTAACATTTTAATAATTCATTCTAAATAGCTTATTGCACTGGTTTTTAAATCAGACTAGTATCTATACTTTGTTTGAAGTTCATTGTTGGTGATGGTGAGTTAATGTTGTTCAAAGGTTTATTGCGGACATTTTCCATCACGATTGTAAAAAATCGTGACATTATCACTTCAACTGATGTACTTTAATCTTTTCTGTAATTGTAAGGTAATAGAATAAAATATGTATATTGAAAATAATACCAGAATCCCCCTCAAGAGAGCGCCTGTTGGACTGGAGCCTACGAGCTCGTCTATGTAAATCCTCCGTTTGTTTCTCTTCCTTCTCATTCTCTTGCAGCCAAGCTTCAATCTTCTGCCGCCAGGCTCTGTGGACAAATGAAACATTCAGTTAATCAATCAATCATACTGAAATTTCTTTTATTTAGTAAAAAATAAACAGAATCATCCCACATAGGAGAATCCGTGCATGGGAGTTAGTCGTTTTATATTGTAATGTGAAAGAAATGAGAAACTTTGAAAACATACTGGTACTGTAGTCACAAAGGAACTTTTAATTAACGGCATGGTTCCACAGCGCTAGTGAAATTATGACAAATGACATTAGACCATAGCTTACTATCAGATTGACCTCTCCCCAACCCCTAACCACCCAAAACGCCACTTCACCCCCCTTCCCCCCACAACACACACACACAAGCACACGCTGTATCAGCTGTCACCTATTGTCTGTAAATAGAAATTAATAATCCATTAGTTAGACACAAACCTTGGCTTGGTTTCCTCCTCATCAGTGGCCGGCAGAATGGTCTTGTTCTCCGAGGTAGCCAGGGGGGAGGGAGAGCTCGGTCTCTCTCTGTCGCCAGAGAAGTCTGCACTCAACAGCTCGGGTCTCTTACGAGGACAGCCTCGGGCCCGTCGTGCCCAGGAGCGATCTGCACAGAAAACATTGATATCATCACACTCGAGAACATTTCATTTTACGTTTCTCTTTTCCGCACATGATTTCAATGTACAGCAAAACTTATATAGTTCTTCAAGTCTTTGATTCAAAGTTTTAGTCAGAGAAAGGTCTTGTAAAGGATAGGATAGGGTAGGTAGAAAATGTTGTTCAATCAGTGACGTAGCTATGGTTAAATGGTATAATGTGAGATTACATCCACAATTGAAGCACAGATACTGAGGGGTGTAAGGTGTGTGTTAGGGCTACCTATATGAAGAATATCCCCAATCTCTGATTGACATATATGAAGAACACTGCCAGTCCACCATATATCAAGAATAAGAATACTCCCGATGTAGGCCTACTGTATGAAGTAAACAAGATAAAAAACATTCCTAATATAAGGAGTAACTTTGACAAAGAACCCTCTCAATATATGAAGTAACATTTTATGAAGAATATTCCCAATATGATGCAACTTTGAGAAGGAATCCTGCAATCTATGAATTAACCTTAATCTTAATATGATACTACCTTGATGAGAACTCTTCCAATTCTTTGAATCTATGATGTACATGCATAGATAAAGAATATTTCCAGCAAAAGAATACTAGCCACAGGATGGATTTTCTTGTAGTATAGGCCTAACCTAAATGATCGTTATGTAGGCATTTCATACATTACCTCTAAGTGAGCTCTAAAAGACGAACATCGTTATTCAATTTTTTTTTTAATATTGTTCAATTATTTTTCATTACAACAGAGAATAAATTTCTTCACCATGCATATAACTTACAGAGTATTTCTAACGTTTGACCCATCATCGGTGAGCCTAATTTAGCTGTGAAAATATTCCAGAAACTTATCAATCAGTAACATATTTTACCTAAACTCCCCCATGACTTGCGCTCCCTGTTGGCATTCTGTCCCGAAGCTTGCAGAAACTCCATCAAAGTTGACTCATCTTCTTCTGAAGGCACTCGACTCCTTCTCCTTCTCAAACTCCCGGTCGGAGTTACATCTGTCACAGAACACAGGTATATTTAAATGTTTATTATTTAGACATAAATAATACTTCAATTTAATCTAAGGATATAGAAGGGCTGGTTAAACATAGAAAATGTAAGAAAGTTATAAACCTCGTTCTACCTAACAAAAGGATTAGGTAATAATAAGCTGCTAAATAAGCCTTGTTTAGCCCTGACTTCAAACTATTATTTCATTCATTAATATAATTTTTTACAAATTATTTTTCTTTATTAGTGGACAAACTATTTATATTTTGTTTTTTATAAATTTTCTTCAGTGTCTTTCCCTCCCTTGAAAGAGTTTGTTTAACTATTGAAAATATTCTCAAGTAAATGCAAATACAGTATATTAAAAGGACTCTCAAAGTAGTGTTATTTGAACCCAAGACAAGACAAGACCTGTATTACACAGATTTATTTACCTACAATTAAGTATTGCTTCAAGGTCTTGTAGGATGTTGAATAACTCTGCGCATTTTGAATTTAGAAACTAGTGTAAGAGGAAAAGCTCCATGAAGATGCCGCACTGAGCGGCGAAATGCGCATTTCTCTATTCAACATTCTTTAAGACCTTCAGGTAAAAATAGGTAAATACATCTTAAATTAGATTACACAGACACAAATAACTTATTAATACAAATAAAGAAAAAATAGCAATTAATATATAAAAGATGGTTTGAAGAATATGTAAGCCAAGCTCCTGAAAATAACCTTGGAATTACATTCGAATTTACATCAAAAGCTACAGTACCTGGAGAGTAGTTGCCATCTTCTTTCATTGGATTGTCGCCGGAAAAAGAGCCAAACCTACGACGAGAGAGAAGAGGTGAGCCCGAAACTGAGACGTCTTCCTCCGATGTCATGATAACATTGCCAAGTCTGCGGTTCTGTTCAACAGTGGCGGAAAAAATATAATAAACTGCAACTATCTATCAAAGATACAGTGCTTTGATGTAAATGATTTGCAACACAATATGTAGTAAAAGTCTTCATGGACATAGTATTATGGTTCGGAAGGGTTTTGGTTTTGGCAATTATCTCTTAAACTGTAAAATTTAGATATATCAAGTGTAAAAAATGTATTATCTTTGATCTTTAATTAAATTAATGACAGGATAATCACATTGTATATTAGATTATAACTACAGATAGACAATTGCTTGAAACTAATAAAGTTATCTTACCTTTAAATCTCTCTCAGAACTATTCTTTACGGGGAATCCTGTCCGGATATCGTAAAGCAAGGAGTCTACAATGTTGCTCTCGGACTCTGAACCATTTGAACACAACTGGCCACTGCTCACTGAAAAAAGTTAATTGTACGTTGCAATTATTCACATAATATTGCTCTATTCATAAGCAATAGCGTTTAAACATTACCTAGAGATTTTGATGAAATTACTCTTACTCATAGTAGCATATATCATTTGATAACTTTACCCATATGAACTCATTTTCATAAATCCCAGTAATTACAGTTTATTCAAATGAGAAACAAATTTACTAATTTGTAATCACGGTGATCAGATAAACAATTGAAATAATTCTTATTCAAACGTTAGTCATGTCAAAGTATGTAAGAATAGAAAAAAATGAAAGTCTTAAGGTCTGACTTTTTTTAAATTTTGTTAGAAACCACACAATGCTCACTGTAACACCAAAAACCACCAAATTTGATTGTTTGGTACAAGGAATTGCAGTAAATCACATTAGTAAACTTGACACGCAAACTATTTGTACTTCAGTACTTGTTTGCTTGCGTTACGATACAATTTTTCTCTGACAACTATTTCTTGCTACCTTTACGATCCAAGATAAATGCTGTATAGAATTAACACTCCTGAGGCTAGTTTATGTGAAAGCTAAAAATAATCTGGAAAATATTTATAAGGTTTTTTAGAGAAATATTTGATTTTTATCCTTACATTGTCGTCTTTTTACTGCTAACTGCTCCTCACGTTGCTTTCTTCTCGCCATAGCTTGCTCTTCTTGAAGCCTTCTTCTGTCGTTCTCAGCAATAGCCTGTTTGAACTTGTTGCAGAATCCATGGAAGATTTTGAAACATTCTTCTATTTTGAATGTTGCTGGATCTTCGCAGAAAAAATCCGCTAACATTTTCCGTACATTTTCTAACTCTCCTAAATCCCTCTGCAGCGTCACTACTTCTTGTTGTGCTACCTGCAAAAAAAGGAAAATTGTTTAAGTAGCCTAGTCACAATTTGTTTATATCCTATGTCTATTTTTGATTTGTTTGAAGTAAATATTGAATGCCTTTAAAGAACATCCATGAATTCTCAGTTATTTAGATTCCATCAGCAAAAGAAGAGAACTCAAATAATATAACTAAAGCTGGGTTTTCCTAACCATGCATGTTATGCGCAGAGAACTAAATTATGCAGATGGCAGATGTACATATTTTCCTGATTCCGCATAATACTTTGAATTCATCTAAGTTTCTATAATTTGGTTACTGAAAATAGGTAAGTGATCATGAGTTCTCATCCTCCAAGGAAGAAAAAAGAGAAGAGAAAGAAGAAAACTTACATTTTATAGTCTATATAAACTGCCAACACAAAAAATTAAGAGCCATTAAAAAAAATAATCACTGCACAGCTGAAAACTATCCTGACAACAATTTAAAACTAGACAGACGTGCCCAAATACCATTGTACCCCAAGTTCGGGAGTTGAATTTTGAAGAGCACCTAGATACCTAGATCACATTGCACTCAATAGAAGAGTATAGAAAAACAGCTGTGTTACATTCTATTTCATTGCACACAAAATTGGGAGATATGGAAACCCAGCACAATTTGAAACACATCAGATATAAAAAAAATATTCAATATTTTTAACAGAAAAAAATACCGGTAACTATAATTGTTTTAGATAAACATTCCAAGACATTTCTTAACGATTTAAGTTAAATTATTAACTTACTTGTAAAAACTCCACCATTTGAGCCTTAATTTCTTTTTCGGTTGACGGAAGATCAATTTGTTTCCGTATTTTCTTAATTCTAGTGTCCAACGTGTTGATCTCATTTTGTAGCTGCTCGACTGTGGTCCTATACAAAGCAGATTTAAGTATTTCCATTGTGTACCAATTTTACAGAACTGTTCATTGTTGATGTATTCAGCTGCAATAGCCAACTGAGCTACATGAGGTAACAGTCAGTGTTGCCAACTTTTCATCTGTACATAGGAAAAGCCCTCTCTGTTACATGTTCATGATTTTGTGTTTTAGGTTAGAAATATGGAGATTGGTTAGGCCCAGAAAGTAGAAGCAAAACAAAATCAAAATATCGTAGAATACAGCTACTTGTATTCCCTAATCAGTGCCAAAACATGAGCTTTCTCTGAGATTGCAAGAAAAAGATATCATATCTTCTATCCTCTTTGATATTCAACATTAGGGTTTATCATTCGGGTAAACAAATAATTCTTTAAATTGAAGTTTTCCTTCAACATGTTTAGTCTCAGGATCTGGTTCATAATGAAATAACCCCAGTGATGAATAAAATTTTTCAAACTACTTGCTGTACCCTATTAAACTTGAAATTAACCTTTATAGGTTTAAATGCTTAATTGCATTACAACAATCAGGTCATTCAATAGTACAATAGGTATTTATCCATGTTTAATTAATTGCAAAGTTTTCTGTTTCTGTATCAAGTAACTAATCTTCAAAATATTGTTTAGGCTTGTGACAAATTGAATCATATTAGTTTTTGTACTGTTCTATTGTTGTCACATACAAGTACAAAACAAGTATTCCTTATAAAAGAGTATGGATACAATTTCATAAAGAATATTAGGTAGATTATGAAACCGACATTATTTCTCTTTTAAAAAAATTAAAGATTGGAATTCAACGTGTACAAAAACAAAACAATTTAATGTATAAGCTACATAAAACACTAGTTTTTGTTAAATGCCTGTGTCAAATTTAATGGCCCTAAAGTAGTCCAATTTTGGAGAAAATGTATATGGGCACTTCTTTTAGTTTCCAAACCTTCCTTTTTTCTTCATATTATTTTTTCCTAGTTCTTCCTAGTCCGAGTCTTTATAATTTAAGAAATAGTATAAAACATTAGAGTACTCACTTTGTCGCTTCTTCCAAAGCATTAATTTCATCTGGGAACTTCAACAGATCCTTTCTCTTCCTCTCGGCTTGCTGAAATACAAAATGTTATTAAAAACCGATTGTAACATGTTAACACGATGCAAAATGAGTTTTGAATGAATAGTATGGATCAGGATAAAAGATCTCCTGCTCCTGACAACTTTTAATAATGTAAGTTTCCTACTTTAGATACACAACGCACACCAAAATATTGATAGTAGAAATATATTTCCTTTGAATAAGAGTGGCATGACTGCAAAAAGCATTAAGTTCAGTGTTTAGGCTTCTTGTGTGAATTCTGGATTTTAACATTTTTACAAAATTTCTAAATAGAAATGAGCAGGTTTCATAAAAATATGTAATAACTTAAATAATCACACAACTTATCTCTTGCTTCACAATATTTCTGTTGGTTGCAATTGTGTGTATTTCAGAACCTAAAGCTTTTACAAAATGTTTGTTTTAAGAGAGGGATTTACAGATATCTGGTGTTGAAACTGTCTAATGTCAAAAAAACATCAGGTACCAATGGCAAATGGTAATTTTAGTCCAAAATAATCCATCCCATAATTAAATTTGCAACCTTAGATTTTAAGGTGTAGTCTGCTTACTTCGCTCACTTTCCAACACCTTCCATGTTGTTGCATATACTGAAAGTTTTACCTCCTCAGTTTCCAAATTATTTATAGTTACACAGATTAATAAATTGTTGGGTTTGGTTCTGGCTGTTTAATCCAAGAAGGTGCATAAATAATAACATTTATTACACAATAGTTGATACAATGCCTCAATGGTAAAAACACAGATACTACTGTTATAAATTAATGAAAATTAGATTTCACTTAAAATACAACTATCTTTAAACTGTGTTAATTTGTAACTATAAAAAAGAATTGTGTTTTATAACACCTACCATAGCTACGTAGTGTATGAGGTTCATTCCTGGCTTGTTGGCTCGAATGTCCGTCACTTTCTGCAGCGAGGAGAGCTTCACTCCCGCAGCATTGCCTGCGTAACCTCCCTGCAGAGGAAGGAACATTATAATATATCAGACACTTCTGGGATGAAGCTTGTGCTGCTGTGTTGTTGTCACTTACAACACAAGCATTACTTCTTATCAAAGTATATTTTCACATTGTACAAAATAATTATCTTTTCTGTTCTTGTTTTGTCTTTTTACTTTTGTGTACTCTAATTGTTTTTTTAAGTCATTGCATGTTCTGTCATAAGAATGTTACCCATGTATACATTATTGTAATTTGAGCTATCCGTTGGAAATAAATACATACATAAATAAGAGTACACATGAACTTTAGATGGAGTATTTTAGATGGATTGGGATTTCTAATGAAGAGAGTGTTATTTAGAACTGTACCTTATAACAGGGTTGTGTAAAAATGTATACAATTAAGTCCTTTGAAACCATGAAAAAAATGGCAATTAATCGATTTGCTGTTATAGAAAAAATTTATTTTCTGTAATAACAGCATTTTAAGTCATAAACATTGAACGATAAATAAACTTACCATAAAGTTTTTAACTTTTTTCTGCCCACCTGCGTGACAGAGTACAGTAAAAATCATTTGAAAAATGCAAACAATGTGATTGAAAGTATTGTAAATTTCAAACTGTCTCCATTGAAACCTATAAACTACATCTTTCGGGTAAAGAGTAAATAAGAGGTACCCAGGAAGCTCCCCTGCAGCACTCTTCTGACTTTTCCAAAGGGATGTAAGACATCAGTTCAGTTCCCACTTTAGTCACCTATTCTCTTTTTTACCAAAAACGACTGCTGCATCCAGTCAATTGTTTGCATTATCCAAAAAGATTACCAGAATCGTATGGATATGTTAGATTGCCCATTGATAAAAATACACTGTAATGATTACTAAAGAAAGAACTAAACTTACAGCATTCAAGAAATTTCCAGCAACTAAAACCATGTAGAGAACTTCCTGAAGAGGCTTGTTGGTCATTAAATCTGAAAAAGGAGTTTTTGATTTTAAAAAAGTAACTAAATGAGCTGACAATGAGGCTATACAACTTTTGCTCAAATGTTAAAGTGTTCCAATTTGTCCTGAAAAGGTCTGCAATGATTTCATTTATATTTGTGAATTTTACCTGGATACAATTTGGCAGCTGTAAAAGCAAGTTACAATTTTGTCACATCCTTGCTTTAGCTTGAGTTAATGGAACTATCATACCAATTTTAGAATTCAAGGATAGCATTTTTGTATCTCTAAATCAATTAGCCACTGTAAATAAGATACCATAGGATAAGTATATAGGTATAATGGTCACCGGTATAGATTTTAACTTGGACTTGTTTTTACATTAATTAAATTACCGCATTCCTTTTAGTAAAGGGAGAGTCAGCGCTTTCTGCTTGGAAGCTTTTTCAATAAATAGCACAATCTTTTCTAAGATACTTTCTTTTGTTTGATAAGTAGACTTCTACAGATTTGGGTAGGTTCCAAACCACTCGATGATGGTCTAATAGTTAAACAACATTGTAGGCGGCAGGATTTTTAACTATTTCCTCTAGCAAGTATAGTCTCACACTCTAAATAATAGACAAGCAGTATTAACAAAATTGCAATTCAGAAACAATTACCTTCGCCAGCGACAATCATGGCATTTATACTTGGTTCCAAGTAGCTCATATTCGCCGCAAACTCCTCCTTCAACAACATGCTTTCAATCCGCAACTTGTAGCTGAAAAATATTGTTCATATTTAGTTTCTAATGTTTATATCATTCTAAATAAACAGGTAATTTCTGTTACACTATTGGAGTAATTTATAAATTTATTAGTCACTTAATGAAACGTCAGTGGGTCAGAAACATTTTATAGAAAACTATAAAGTAAATTAGAGTTCTTGTTCAGATCCATTTGGTTTGAGCTTTAGAAGGTTCAGTCGTCCGTGGGTGTAACTGATGTTGAAACCACTTTTACTTCAATCTCACAAAGTACTAAATTAAACAATTCACAAAGTACTTGTCTAGGGCTGTTTATTTCACTGTACAGAAGCATAGCCACCGCTTATACATGACTGCGGCGAGGCAAAAGTGGCAACTCCGCATTCCTGACCAACTGAAACGGGGGGGCGCTAATACACTTTTATGGAGACTGTGTAGTGTAATGTTTTACGTTTTATATTACTGTTATTACTATGGCCTTGTGTTAGAGGAGACTATGAAAAAAGTGATTGTTATAATATTTTGTTGCGTAGTATTAGTGTTGTTATAGTGCTGTAGTTAACTAACTTTGCACACATGCGGTTTTGAAGCGTATTATTATTAATTTATTTTTGTACTAAATAAAACTAAAAACTCAATTTTTGTTTGGAAAGTGGTCTGGTTGTAATGTGTCAAAGTAGGTCTTCTATAAAAATATGATATTTATGTGGTATACACAACAATGCAGCTTATGGTCATTAATTGAAACCCATCTCCCCACTACAAAGGGTGTAGCATGTTTAAAACAGAACATATTAAGATAAATAAAATAACTTACCTATGATGTGTTAAATATAATTCTAGCAGTATTTTAGGTGGAAATTTACAAACTGGCCCAATAAGTATACATTCGCCTATCAGTAAAAAGACACTACACCATTCTATGGCAAAATAAGCTGTTTTGATTTGGTAACAAACCAAACATCCATAAGGTAGCTTTTTGATGGTTTTAAACTGGACCCAGCTGTTCCTGATCATTGGGCTTTAATAAATAATCCTGACTGATGAAACAGCTGATCTTATTCATTAACAAATGCTACACAAATCATCTAACACCATTCTACACTCATCCTTCACTAATTTTTTTTGGTTAAAATACCCTTCCCCATCCCAATCAATCGCTAATCAATAATTGAACTAATTTAAAAATACAAGTAAAACTTTATCAAAGACTTACTTTGGTACCTCTATCAGCTGTAGCAAAAACTTCTCCGCATTTCCCAATTTGCTCTTGTCACCATCAAAGTTCCGTAGCATTTCCAGCTCATCAAGTTCAGGCAATATTTTGAGCAAGCCTCTCAACTTTTCCGCTCCTATTTCATCGTGCTCTCCATCTCGAATCACTTGTATAATATTTTCATTTGTACTGAAAAAAAAATACATGAATAATTGTTTGGTTATTATTGTAAAGATTAAATTGTCAAATATCAAATTTGCTAGTTAATAATATGTCACTAAAGGAATACCTTAGTAGTTCTTACTGGAGTTTTTAGGAGTTGGGAATATAGTTTTACACCAAAAGCCCATATTTTATTGGTTTGCATGACCTGTAACCTTCCCACCTGGCGATGTGGTCCGGCTAACTCAGGATGGGGTTGGTTATAGCAATTGGTCTTACCAAGCTCTAGAAGGTCGAAAGGTAGATGGAAAGGGTGCCACCTCGTTGATGGGAGATCTTCAGAGTTTCCAACGTGGAACAAAACTCTACCCAACCGCAAACACGATTACTGATTACCAGAGTATTTTTAAACAAGTACTCGACCATTCAACCTTGAGTTGACTCAATGACATGACCAAGATTGTAAAACGCTATAATTATCACCTTAGAACTCTTAGAATACTATAAACACCTTTTGAATAAAATATTTTTCTTGATAAAACTTCTTGATAAAGACAAAATCAGACAAAGCTATGAAATGATACAGGACTAGGGCAATACTGTACTATCTATATCAGTGTTTCCCAACCTTTTTCCGTTCAGGGCACACTAACTAGAACACGTTTGTAGTCACGGCACACTTGTCTACAAAAATATTGTTGGTTAAAATTACATTTAGTAAGTGCATAAAAACTCTTTTTTTCAATTACATCTTGCTCCGTAAAACCTGTTTTTTACTAGTAAATATATATATGTAAATAATATAAAGGTGGGTTTACCAAGGTAAAAAATATAAAATTCACAATTGTTATCTAACGTACATTATTTAGTGTTTATTAAATGGAAAGTTTTGAATAATAAAAAAACATTGAGCTTGATTAAAATGTTGTTTGAATTTAATTTACCAATAATAAGTGAGAAATATTTAATAAACCCTGGTTTCAGTTCTAGTGGAAAACTTGTGCTTGACGTTTGTTCATTAAAAGTTTAATTCTTGGACAAATGGTTGACAAGCAGACTCTCGTATCGTCTTCCAAAGACTTAAGTTGAGAACGGGTTTAGGTCTTGATTGCGTTCATTGATGGAAATGCAGCTTCACAAATGTACGAAGTAGAAAAGGAAGAAGAAAAAGAAAACTACTTAAAATTTCGCGGCACACCGGTTGGGAAACACTGATCTATATTATATCTAAATTTATGATTTGGAATTGAAAGATCAAAACTTGATTATTTAAATTCTTCAAAAATAGAATGTATTTGTATCACACTGTAAATACACTAGTTTTTTTTGTGTCCACGCCCTTACAGCATTAAATTAATTCTAAGACTTAAAGGGAAAGCGTGGGTGTACCGGGAATCAAAACTGTCCCTCCTGTTCCGAAGTCTAGGGCACTAACCACTGGGCTAGCAACACGCCCATTAGTTGTAATTTCTAAAATGTAATTCCTGAAATTTTTTTTGAAATGAAATGGAATGAAAATCTCTCTTTATTGAAGCAAACTTAGGACCTCATGGTACTTTCTTATAGTCAACCTCTAAAATTGTTTAGGGAAACATCTCAGTCGTAGTTATAATAGATAATTTCTGAAATGTAATTCCTGAAATTTTTTTTGAAATGAAATGGAATGAAAATCTCTCTTTATTGAAGCAAACTTAGGACCTCATAATACATTCTTACAGTCAACCTCTAAAATTGTTTAGGGAAACATCTCAGTTGTAGTTATAGTAGGTATGTTGAAACTAGTATATTGAGAAAATGCTTACCTTCTAAATTGCTTCAAGAATATGTTAACATTCAGGCTCCTTTTTCCATCGAGAAGAGAAATCTGGAAAAAAATTAAATGGGGTAAAAAAGTTGTGAGTAAAGTTTATTTTTTGTAAATTAGTAAACAGTTGCTTGGATTAGTAAATCATAAGTTTTTTAGATGTAAAAATAACAAGTTAGTTTTGTTCATCTGAAAAAAATTTCATCATCAAAAAATAATTGGAGTCAAAGATATTTTTAGAATGAAAACATTGGCTCATTGGTCTATTTGCCATAAGCTTTCTGGAATGAATGCTTTAAACTCAGTTTTGTAGCAATTACCCTTTACCATCTATATCTTGAGGAACAACTTCCAAACATTATACCACAAAGCTGAGAAGTAGATGTTTAAAGTTTTAACATGATAGTTCACAGGATTTCATGTGAGTACCTTCTATTTTAATTAAAAAAATTATAGAATTTAATTTTTTTAAGATTAAGTTTTCAAATTCTCTAATTGTGAAAGTGCAATGTCCAAACCTGAATTATATTTTTTGTGGAGTTTCACTGGGTAGAAACCCATTTAATGCCTTTTCGAAAAGGTGTCTCATGAGAGTGCCCGGGGAAACAGACCATAAAACTAGCTGCTTACTGTATAGTGTGTAACCAAAGGTTTTGAACACATTCACTATCAGGACAAGACCCTTCATACAGAGGAGAGAGTCGGCTGGTAGACAACGTGTGTTAGTCATGGAAGAAAGCTTAGCCAAAAGGTGTCTTCTGATCATACCTCGGAGGGCTCTTTGCGCTTCTTATCGCCAGCGTCTGGAGTGTCCCTGGCGCTCAAGTGAGGTGAGCTCTGCGCCGAGGTGGTGGTGGAGGGGGCAGGAGGCGCTTGTTGACAGAACAACCCTTCCATCTCGTCCCAGTCCAGGTCGGCCATCGGAGAATGTTGATGACTGCGAGCAACCAACGACCAGATGTTGTGTTTGCCAACCACCTAGACGAAAAAGTACCAAAGTAAGACACCCGAGTAATGCCTTTCACTACGGATAGAACTAGACAATCCATTCCTGTGCTGTGCTTGTGGCCAGTTTTAGAATTTAAATGATGCAATGAATTGAGCCACAGAGTTTGCTATTGAGATCGTCTTTTCACAAAGTCAAACTGAAACAGTAATGTCACATAAATTATTGCAGCAATAAAAACTAAGAGAGTAAAAATATAAATTTGACACATTCAACTTTGTTCAATTAATACCTACTGTAAAATATTGACCACAGCTGATACATATTATAGATGAAATGTCTACTTCAGTTTGCAAATGTCAGGTGGGCTTCAAACCCATGACCTCATGGGGGCTGTTGCACCCAAGCAATCTCTAGACCATCTCTTTCTAAGATTAACAATAATATGTGATAAATACGAACTCAAACTCACCTTGTTATTTGGTATCTTATTCCAATTTATAGTTTTCATCTTTGCCCGAGGAGTGGGGGTCTCTTGTTGTGGCAGGATGATATTGACATTTTCCGAGGTTTCCGAGGGAACGTTGGTAGGTGTCGGGGGTGTGAGAAGGGGCGGAGGGGGTGGCCCCCCCATCCTAGGTGGGGGAGCCGCGGGAGGTGGTGGAGGGGCCAGTGGTGGGGGAGGTGGAGGTGGCGGAGGGCCAGGCGGAGCTGCAGGTGGAGGTGGAGGAGGAGGAGCAGGGGAGGTATTTAGTGACTGTTTCCTGCTGCCACACAACGGGTGTTTGTGCGACTGTAGACTAGGTGACCGCAAGAGTCTATTGGCGTCCTCACGACTCTCGAGTAGCGTTGCGCGGTGCACCAGCCGCTCAGTCGTGTCCCATATGATGTCACTCACAGCCTCCCGTGGGTCTATACGCAGCAAGTGCTGCAGGATGCTGAGGAAAGGGATCTCCTGAGGGGTATCTGCTACCTGAAACGATGATTAAAACACTAATAAGAAAAGTAAAGTCTTTAAAATAATACAAAACTGGACCCAGCTGTCCCTGATCATTTTGTTTTTAATAAAAGGTCCTGGCTGTAGAAAAACCTACTGTATCTTAGTCAGGAAAAAATCTGTCATTTCATTCATTTAAGACTCGTCCGTTTGCTCATCCTCACCTCAAAATATCCACCCTGGTATTTCAGTGTCAACATTTCTCTAATCTCTGAGCTAAAACTCAAAAGTATAAAATAAAATCTGGATTAACTTTTTTTTTATAATCCAAAATAAAAATCTTCACACAAATAGGTGTGCACTTGAAAGAGATTGGATTATCAGTCTCTTTTGCAGACAATTCTGTTAGGAGGAAACAGCCCTCCACTGTTTGATTGCCCACTCAATCCATTGGGATTAATTAAAAGAACAAGAAGGTTGGGGAACAATCGCAAAGAAAACCTCAAGGGTAAACTATCTGCTCTGTGATTTGACATTTTTGAGGGACAAGTTGCTGACATGAGGGTGCAGAAAGCTGAAAACAGTTGTGCTGCATTTCCATGGCCATGGCCATCAAGCATATTTTGCCACTTGATTGTGGTACTTGATCACTATGCTGCTAATAAATTATTCTTACTTAAAACTCCCTGATTTTAGGCAGTAACAATAATGTAATATACATTCACACCACTAGCATTTGTCTCTCCAATCAAACTGTATGGAATCATAAACAATTGTCAGAAATTCACTAAAATAATTTAATCATAACTAATTGTTTGTCTTCTGTTATTACAACGAAACAATAAAGCGTAAAGCACAGATTGCAACATCTACCCTAAAATATTTTTATTGATCAGTATGCTTAAATCCAGAGTCCGCCTCTTCCCATCAAGCAAATTCTTTATTCTCTGACATTAATTTAAAACCAGAAAATTGAATACAGCTGACTTCTGTATGAACATCTTGGAGTACTCTAAACTTGTTTGATCAATCTAAGAGCATTCATATCCCTTTTAACTGCTTCACAGAGAAGTAAGGTACATAGGAAACATTCAATGGCACACTTAAGTGGTGTCTATTACTAGGTGTCTAGGGCAAAATCCAAAACCGCCCCTCTAGCCATCATGTACAATGCTCATGGTGGAGAAAACCCCTGTACAATAGGGATTTCCGCACAGTGCTCACCACTCAGGCAGTCCATTACAACTAAAGTTTCCTCTGCACCTTACTTCTCTGTGACTGCTTCACTCGACCTTTGACTTACTTGTCTGAGGATTGCGTAGAAGACGTCAAGATGGGAGTTGAGGTCGACATCATGGGCAGAGTGTAGTACTTGGGCCTCGTCGCTCTCCTTTTGCTCATCAAATACGTCGAGCTGCACACCAAGCTCTGCCACGCCTCTCGCACAACGTCTACAACAACAGGAAACAGCTCATTACTTCTGTAATATTGAATCCTCAGTGTGTAACTAGTTACGTTGCTTGCCTTAAAATCTGATTTTTGCTGGTTTTCATTGAAGCAGGATTGATTCTGGATTAGTTACCACTGACTTTTCAATGGAGTATCAGTTATCATTGGCAGTTCTATGACCTTGACAAGGGAGGCTACTGTGGTTAGAGGTTTTCCATGAAAGTAGGAGGGCCTGGTACTCCCTCGCAAAATTTGGTGGATTTTCAAAGCCAATTTTAACGTCTAGAACTGTGTCCAAAAACCTCTGTTATGTTTTTAAGACAAAATGGATGTTTAAATTTATTTTTCCAGGGTACAAAGAGGCTTAAGTCCTTGTAGCCCGGCCTTTTGAACCACCACTGTCAATTAATGATGTTATCAAACAACTGCTATCCTGTAGACATTCAAAAGACCAGCCAGGGTTTTGGTCTATCTTTTGTTAAAAAAAAAAACCAAAAAACAGATAAAATGCCAAAAATACAGATAGTTATAATTTCTTTGTTTTCACTTTCACTACTGTCATTAAACTGATGAAGAAGAGGTCAAGGAAGATTTTTTCCCCTTTAAACCATTTTGCTGTGTAGATGAACAAATAATACTTCAATGATTGTTAATCAGACATAATTTGAGAAGGTTTCTTATTTATGTCCCACCTTTACATCCTAGGACGCTAGGTTCTAGTCCGGAACTGTTTTCTTATTACTTCAGCTAGGTCTAGAGGGTCACGGCATTATCACAAAGATAAAATTTATTTGTGATTGTATATTAGAAGATTATATTTATTTATTTATTAGATTTATTGGATATTAGAAGTAGAACCCGAGACCTCTGTGACTGAAGTTCTGCGCTCTACAACTAGACCAGCTTGCTCCCACATAATTTGAGTAGTAGACTCTAATTTGTTTAAATCATTGAGGCCAACAAATACAGGTTTGGATTTTAGATCTCCCTTACAGCATAGCCTACACTTAGAGAAATTCTATTGTCTAATTTTGTGAAATAAAACAAAAAGCGACAATTTTTTTAAAAACAATTAATAGCCTGGCAAAATTCCATTGGATCCTCATAAATGGAAGGACAAATTCTATAAATATTTAAAACTATGTGTAGTTTCTTAGTCTCCTAGTTCTACCCAACATTTTTTAGTTTTAAGATTCCACAAAGTAATGAATGTTTGTGTTACACCTATTTACAAATAAAATTCATTAATGCTGGAAAAACCACAATCCCATCTTTTTACTGCTCATGGTGAAAGGTAGTAAAACCAATAATATAGCCTACTAGGGTATGTACGAAAGAAATAAAGTATTTCTTAAAAATCATTAATTAATTCATTGTGTTAAAGCTGCATTACCTCAATCACACTATACAGGGTGATCAACTCAAGAAGGCCACCATTGGGATATCGGAAACGGTAAGAATTAGAGAAAACTTTAAATGGGGGACATTCCTTTATTTTTTGAGGCAATTAAATATATGATTTTATTTTTTCGAAATTCAGCCGCCATTTTCCAAAATGGCGGCCAACTTTGAAATTTCTTATGGAACACCCTATATTTTATCATGTTTTCGGATAGAACAGACAATTTAAAAACTTTTTTATTCTTGACATTTTTTCGATAAACCCACTCGTTTAGGAGTTACAGCCTATGGAAAAATGACTTCCGGTGTACATTTTACATCATGTAGCTCCTAAACAAGTAGGTTTATAGCAAAAATTCAAAAAGTAAATAAGTCAAATAAGTCTTAAAATTGCATCCACATTCCAAAAAGACCATAAAATACACAGTTTTCCACTTTTCAAGTTTGCCGCCATTTTGGAAAATGGCCGCCATTTTGTAAATAATAGAATTAATAGTTTAAACGAATTTTATGGTCTTTTTGGAATGTGGATGCAATTTTAAGACTTATTTGACTTATTTACTTTTTGAATTTTCGCTATAAACCTACTTGTTTAGGAGCTACATGATGTAAAATGTACACCGGAAGTCATTTTTCCATAGGCTGTAACTCCTAAACGAGTGGGTTTATCGAAAAAATGCCAAAAATAAAAAAGTTTTTAAATTGCCTGTTCTATCCGAAAACATGATAAAATATAGGGTGTTCCAAAAGAAATTTCAAAGTTGGCCGCCATTTTGGAAAATGGCGGCTGAATTTCGAAAAAATAAAATCATATATTTAATTGCCTCAAAAAATAAAGGAATGTCCCCCATTTAAAGTTTTCTCTAATTCTTACCGTTTCCGATATCCCAATGGTGGCCTCCTTGAGTTGATCACCCTGTATAGCATCCACTATATCCATATATATAAAAATATATGGATTTCTGAAACTTACTTTTAACATATTCTTTTTCCAAAATTATTTTTAATTCACATTAAAGATTTAATGTGCATTAAAATTCATTTTTAAAATGTGTGTTCTTAGACATAATACAATTTCATACTGCATTTTAATTTTGAAAGTGGCTAAGACCAATTAATTGCGCAAAAAAAATTTTTGTTTAGTATTTAAAACAAGAAAAGTTTTTTTTTTTAGAAAAGGTAATGAGAAAATGTTATTTGTATGAGCAGCACAGCCTATAATTAAATCGAAACAATTACATTTATGGTGTCAATCGTTTGGGTAACACAACTGAGTGAAAATTTAAAAAAGTACGTTTTCAAGAAAAGCACTTAAAATTTTTTTTCCGTTTTTTGAAACTTTTTTATTTTTTTTTTAAATTTCATTGACATTTGAAGTTTCATAAAATGTCCATGGGAACACAATATTTTTGGTGATTTTTTTTTTTGAAAACGCAAAAATTTTTTCACGACCATCACGGACATAAAACTGAATATTAAAAATAGTTAATATTATTTTTATAACTATGTTTTGCTATAAATTAATTTACTTTTATGGTCATTATACAATAAACAGCTCACTAAGCTTTTGGTATATTTGGTTTTTCTAGAAAAAGATTAAAAAAGACTAAAAAATTGATAAAAAGCCAATAAAATCTTTTAAGTTTGTATAAATCCAAAAAAACTTACCTGAGACCTGAAAAATCGTTATGTTTTTATAGAGATGTGCTTCTTTTGTGTATAAAACATTGAAATATGATGATATTTTAATTTTTGAAATTTTTATGATAGAAATCGTCAACGTGATGGTCAGGGACAAACAGTACGGTCGTGAATTGTCTGGAATAATCTAAATCTTTCTAAACAATCCTTCAATTATAGTGTTAGTTATAATAAAAATATGTGTTTTAATTGAACTTAAATATAATTGTAAATTGAACCGTTTGAATTTACAATGATATTTAAGTTATTGACACGACCAAACACAGTATAATTAATAAGGCTGGATTGGTCGTTAAAAAACCCGTGATGGTCGTGAAACTTTGGTCGTGATATTACGTTATTTGGCTCTGATCTGGCGAGTGGCGGTAGCCCTGCACCTCATGTTCTAGGATACAAAGTGGACTTCTAGGTTAATGTAGCAATTGAAATATAATATCAACAAAAATTAACACCACGTCTACTTCATCAAATGACTACGTACGGTCATGGACACACCAAAATTACAAAAAACACAAATTTACCTTTATTAATCTTGTAACTACTTCTTTCAACACAAAATGACCGGCACAACAAACTTTACGTACACCTCGAACTAGTCTCTAAAATGAACTGACGCAATCGACGCCAGGCTTGCCACTGTCATGCTCCAATCCAAAGTTGAAATTTTTTCCCAAATGAGGGACAGACTTATTTTGTCATGGTAGTCAGTTTGAAATGACAATAAAATTATAATATGCTCCTTTTTTGTAAGTTTAATAACTATTGATGACATAAAAATATGGATTTATATATTTCAGCGTGAATATTTAGTCTAAAAACAGCGTGAAAGTTGGAAAATGTACCCTAGGGACACGTTATGGTCGTGAATTTCGAGACTTTAAAAATACGAAAAAATACCTAGAACCTATTTAAAACCAAATAAATGTGTGTAACATGTTGCCCTCGTCCCAAAAAATATTAAAACACATAATAATAAATTACAAATCCAGTATCTATGAAGTAAAAGGCCAGGGACATGAAAACGTACGTTTTTAAATTTTCACTTAACTATGTAAAGTAAACCACCACAATGACAACTCCAGTCTGTGTTTTCCCATATTCCTAAGTAGTAGAAGCTTCTAATTTCATACCACCATCAAACATACTCTATTATACAGTATATTTGCAAAATTGAATGAATCAGCTGAAGATTAAGGTTAGTCCAGCTAGGTTTACCTCAAGGGCGTTTCGTTGTTTCCTAATTATTGTTTCTTGTTCTTTAACAGATTTCAAAACTTCAAAACCATCTAATTATAATAATGGCTTTGACTACAGTATGATAACCAAATAGTGAATTTCAAATCATAAATCAACCATTAAAATAGAACAAACAAATAGTCAACACTAGCACCATAGATAAAAGGAGTATAGACATGTCTATACTCCTTTTATCTATGCTAGCACTCAAACGGCACCAACATGAAAAAAAACATAATACAAGATTTTACATTAGTGTGGGACAAAAACCCAAACTCAAACAATCCCGTCAGTAAATACCTGTGAACCGAACTAGATCCCGGTGAAGCATATGGTTGCCAGTAAAACCAATGACGACAACAGCAATCGCCATACAATCTCAATGGACCTATCTCATTCAACATATTCTTCCTTCTTCCTTCACTCAAAAGTCTAGACTGCGTGTTTCGCGGTTAAGATAGCCGCCATATTTGTTCCGACTGCACTTCCCGATATCTTAATTACCCTGTCATACATGCTTTGTTTGTCCATTAAATTAATCCCTATGTTTGCTGAGTGACTTGGTTCCCACGCGTATACAATTGGATGCTTTGTTGTTGAGCGGTTATAGTTAGTTTACGCAACGATCGCGTAATGAGAGTCTTTACGACACGAGTATAAAATT